TCCATTAAAGTCATAAAGCTATGTAAAGAATATGAGGAGATATAAGGTTACTCTATTAATGAAACGATTGAAATTTATTTAGTTTATGGGTTGTTTTTATATTATACTTCACTTATTGTTGCGCCTCCTATTACAAGTATTATTAGTTATAATGTAAATTATTGGTTTTCATTATTTACTTACATTGTTTTCTTGTCTTTAATGTGTTTTTCGTTCGGTATTTTTTTCGTAATTGTGTACATCTCTTTTCCAGCCATATTATTCAAGACAGGTCAACCCCATCTATGTGAGAGCGTCACTAATGGAAAGAGCACGGTAAGTCATTTATCTTCATATATTCATATTTGGTTTTAATACCAAAGATGTCTTTGTATTTCATTACAAAGACGTCATATTATATTTTCCTTTAAAAGACATTGACTGACATGAAATGGCTAACCGGTACTTGATGTCCGATAGAGGATATTGACCGTTGGTCATTTGAGCTTCCTAGTCGGTCATGTCCGGGATATAGAGCCAAATCAACAGCCCTGCCCTTGACTAAGTAAAAAGCGTCCAAATTTGTCTGTGAGCTCAATAGACACTAGTTTTCGTGCGATTTTAATGAATCTTGATGTGATCATATATATTGATCAGATCTTGGACTGGTTCAAATTTGACGATTATTCCATGAACATTTTTTGAGTAAATGCCCTATTGTCTTCATCCGATTATGATGAAATTTGGCATGATAATTTAGTGAAGTTCTAATACGATGATTTTTCATTGGAGAGTTTTTGGGTAATGGATATCTTTAAAATAGTAAAATTCATATTTAAGTCACTAAAGATTGTTCTTGTTTCTGACAGCTTGTAGTGTGTGTATGTTACCTTGCATGGCAAGCTATCTTATATTTTAACCAATATTTTGAATTAATACTATGTGGAAGTGTATTATCTAAGATGTCGGATTGGAAAATAAATCGACAGCCCGTGTGTCGTGATACACCTCTTAGTAGTGGTAAGATTAGGCAAATTATGCAAATGTCCCACACGCACAGTGCATGACGTTGTCCCTCTCCCTTAGACCAAAAAAAAAAAGAAAAGTAAAAATTTCAATTCATTTCTGCTAAATATTTCACAACCGAACATTTGACAACCTTGTGTTTCATATTTGACAACCAGACATCTTAATGTTTCATATTTGACAACCAGACACCTTTATTTGACAACCAGACATATAAATATTTGACAGGCAGGCAATTTCATATTTCATATTTGACAACCAGACATTTTTATGTTTCTCATTTGACAACAAGACATATTTATGTTTGACAACCAGACACCATTTTGCCAACCGACATCGACATCTTTACGTTACATATTTTTCAACCAGACATTTTTAGGTTACACATTTGATAACCAGACATCATTATGTTTATTATTTAACAACCAAGCAAAATTATGTTTCATATTTGAAACCCGAATTTTTATGTTTCATATTTGCCAACCGGACATATTTATGTTTGCCAACCATACATCCTTATGTTTCATATTTGCCAAACTGGCAATCAGACACCTTTACGTTACGCATTTGACAAACAGACATTATTAAGTTTCATATTTGACAGCCAGTTATATTTGTATTTGCCACTATGTTTCATATTTGACAACCGGACACCCAATGTTTCATAATTCGACAACAAGACAACTTTTTTGATATAAACATCTCTTTCTGTTTCAGATTTGACAACTTGAGTCCAAGAAGCACTGTACTGGAAGAACCACCTCCCGACTACATGTAGTGAATATAAATAAAAACTTGATATTGATAAGCTTCCTAAGAAAAATGATTGTAATATTGTTTGTGACACTCTGAGTAACAATAAGTTACGTTTATTTAATTTATGTTTTAATATTTCTAGGATACCATTTATATAAGAGCAGTACGATATTCCAGGAACTGTTTTTGTGTTTGACTTTGAAAACAATACAGATGTGTTATGTGTAGTTTTACGGGCATGTCTTTCTTGTATTTGTTACAAAAATGTTTCTTATTAATGTTATTATTTTAGTTTATGTTATTAATCTTTGTATTTTGTAATATGTCATGGAATAATAGATTTTGTAATTTGTTACGTGTCACAAACGATCATTGTAATTTTTTTTGTGTCACAGGCGATCATAAATAGTTTGTCATATATCATAACCGATCATAATAGTTAGATAAATGTCATAATAGTAGTTTTTAATGTGTCACAATTGATCGCTGTATTGTTTCACAATCAATCATCGAAGTTTATAATGGTCAAAGTCGATCGTTGTAGTTTGTAATGTTTCACAATCAATCATTGAAGTTTGTAATGGTCAAAGTCGAACATTGTAGTTTGTAATGAATCACAATAGATCATTGTAGTTTGTAATGAATCACAATTGATCATTGTAGTTTGTAATGTGTTACAATCGACTATTGTATTATGTTACAATCGACTATTGTATGTTACATTCGACTATTGTATTATGTTACAATCGACTATTGTATTATGTAATGTGTTACAATCGACTATTGTATTATGTAATGTGTTACAATCGACTATTGTATTATGCAATGTGTTACAATCGACTATTGTATTATGTTACAATCGACTATTGTATTATGTAATGTGTTACAATCGACTATTGTATTATGTATTGTATTACAATCAACTATTGTATTATGTAATGTGTTACAATCGACTATTGTATTATGTAATGTGTTACAATCGACTATTGTATTATGTTACAATCGACTATTGTATTATGTAATGTGTTACAATCGACTATTGTATTATGTAATGTTTTACAATCGACTATTGTATTATGCAATGTGTTACAATCGACTATTGTATTATGTAATGTGTTACAATCGACTATTGTATTATGTAATGTGTTACAATCGACTATTGTATTATGTTACAATCGTCTATTGTATTATGCAATGTGTTACAATCGACTATTGTATTATGTAATGTGTTACAATCGTCTATTGTATTATGTAATGTGTTACAATCGACTATTGTAATGTGTTACAATCGACTATTGTATTATGTAATGTGTTACAATCGACTATTGTATTATGTAATGTGTTACAATTGTCTATTGTATTATGTACTGTGTTACAATCGACTATTGTATTATGTAATGTGTTACAATCGACTATTGTATTATGTTACAATCGACTATTGTATTATGTTACAATCGACTATTGTATTATGTTACAATCGACTATTGTATTATGCAATGTGTTACAATCGACTATTGTATTATGTAATGTGTTATAATCGACTATTGTATTATGTAATGTGTTACAATCGACTATTGCATTATGTTACAATCGACTATTGTATTATGTAATGTATTCCAATCGACTATTGTATTATGTAATGTGTTACAATCGTCTATTGTATTATGTAATGTATTACAATCGACTATTGTATTATGTAATGTGTTACAATCGACTATTGAATTATGTTACAAACGACTATTGTATTATGTAATGTGTTACAATCGACTATTGTATTATGTAATGTGTTACAATCGTCTATTGTATTATGTAATGTGTTACAATCGTCTATTGTATTATGTAATGTGTTACAATCGACTATTGTATTATGCAATGTGTTACAATCGACTATTGTATTATGTAATGTGTTACAATCGACTATTGTATAATGTTACAATCGACTATTGTATTATGTAATGTGTTACAATCGACTATTGTATTATGTTGCAATCGACTATTGTATTATGTTACATTCGACTATTGTATTATGCAATGTGTTACAATCGACTATTGTATTATGTAATGTGTTACAATCGACTATTGTATTATGTAATGTGTTACAATCGACTATTGTATTATGTTACAATCGACTATTGTATTATGCAATGTGTTACAATCGACTATTGTATTATGTTACAATCGACTATTGTATTATGTTACAATCGACTAGTGTATTATGTTACAATCGACTATTGTATTATGTTACAATCGACTAGTGTATTATGTTACAATCGACTATTGTATTATGTAATGTGTTACAATCGACTATTGTATTATGTTACAATCGACTATTGTATTATGTTACAATCGACTAGTGTATTATGTTACAATCGACTTGTGTATTATGTTACAATCGACTATTGTATTATGCAATATGTTACAATCGACTATTGTATTATGTTACAATCGACTATTGTATTATGTTACAATCGACTAGTGTATTATGTTACAATCGACTATTGTATTATGTAATGTGTTACAATCGACTATTGTATTATTTTACAATCGACTATTGTATTATGTTACAATCGACTATTGTATTATGTTACAATCGACTATTGTATTATGTTACAATCGACTATTGTATTATGTTACAATCGACTATTGTATATAATGTGTTTTTCCATTAATTTGTTATATTATTGAAAAGATCAAAATGATCAAAAACATCACTTGTATTTTTCCATTTGTAATTCACTGATGACGCTGTCCGTGGTGTCAGAAACAACCAAATGTTTGGATTAAAAGGTCCTAAATATTCTAAACAAGGGATGACAAGAAATGAAAGCACACAATCCGGCTGGTCTGTATCAAATAGAGAGACAATTACTCAAATATCTCAGCTATTCACTTGCAATATCTCTTTGAATCTGTCATAGTGCACATGGGCAAATGTCTTATATCGAAATATTCTAATAGAGATTGACAGAATGGAATATCAGAATTCATGAAATAAGAAACTGTCTTCATCCCCTTAGAAGCTGCCCCTTTATAATAATTTGAACAAGGAGTTGCCAATCACGATATGCCTACCTAAGCTACTGAATAAATTTTTGGGTCTATTCACTTCTTCGAGACTTCAAGAGCCACTTATATCAAGGGCTGTAACTCAGGATATATTTGATGAAACATACTAAAATTGTAACATTACAATATATAATGGTGTATGAAATCACTAAAAAAATACTTAAATCCAAAATACTTTAACTGTCTTTAATTGCAAACATACTACCGGTATATACAAAAAATTCATCATAAAATCTATATTTAATTTTTACGTGACTTATTTCTTGTTAAGTTTTATTTCTTCTTCTGTTTTTCTTCTATTTCTTTCATCCCTGCCTCGTACTCTTTTTTGAAGGTTTCTCGAAAAGAGTTTAATTTGTTCTGAGCACCTTTGGCACCTTCTGTCCATTCTTTCCCAGCTTTGAGTGTATCATCTTGCATCTTCTTCAGTAAATCAGCATCTTTTAGTTTTTCCAAACTTTCATGACCTGTAAAAATTAACAGGAGATTACTGATGCCACTGTAGCAAATGTTCATCAACTCAGCTCTACATAGTTAATCTTGATTAGTTGTTATAATTGCTAAAATCACTTTACGGTTATATTTTTAACCATAGTGAGTACCAACCAAGCTTTATGGTCTACTGATCTATACTGGCTAATGAACACAAGTAGTACCACACCATATATATGGCATCAACTTTGTCCCAATTTCCAATCAATAAGGAGTTTGATTTCAACTTATCTATAACTTGAACAAAAACAATTGAGGTTTTATAGCATACTGTCAGTATTAGTCTAATGAAGGCTAGAAACACCATGCAGTGTGCAATGAAATAAATTCCTCATTTTTGATCAACCTCAAGGTGTTTTATTGTTCCGTTCCAATCATAGATACTAGTACCATATCAACATCAACTTATACTAGCAATCTCATGGAGCTGTCCAGATTCTTAATAAAGATAGATTAATCTTACCTATTTCTTGACCTTTATGAAACAAAAAAGTTGTTAACTGTGCTGCTCTACGAATGGGGTAACTCTCAGATATCTGCAATACAAACAGTCAATGAAATATTGTTATGACAGTAGGCATAGATAGGCCTTACTTACCTTACGATTCTGATAAAACTTAAGAATGAGAGAATTTACTCCACTTTCACAGTATCCCTTTGTTCACAGATTTATCAAATTCTGTTAATATTTTGAGAATCACTGTTAGTTTTTCTTGGTAATCTTCAAATTAAAAACTTCATTTTCTTAGAAAATAGTCTGATTTTCAAATCTTTTAATAACCACAATTCATTTTTTGACTCTTCTATTATACTATATAGCCTATAGATACCGGTATTTCAAAATACAGGCCTAACTTATAAATGGACACACACTGTACTTGAAGAGTCTAATTACATACAGTGTGTGATAAGTGAAATTATGCATGGAGATCATTAGGCCTATTGACCTGTCCTTAAATCTTTCAAAGCATCATTAATATGTATAAGCCTGTGCACACAGGGCCACCATTCATTTGAAATCAAAAGATCTTATTTTCTTTTATATCCTTACCTTTTGAACAATCTGCTCATTATTCAACAAATACCTGGAATTAACAAACAGATTCTTATTGCCAACAATAAATATGGCAAACTATGTCCATATAACTCTTAACCTTCTATGTCCATATAACTCTTAACCTTCTTAGTTAGTAATTTTGTAAATCCAGTAAATCCTGTTGTTCATCTAAAAGAGTTACATGAAAATATTCCCAATATTTTGAATCATTTCACTTTTGAAACCTAGTCATAAAAATTCATGTGTAAAGATAAATTCAGGTAAATAAACTATCCGTAAGTAATATCCAATCCGTAAATGTTTTTCAATGTAAATACTATGAGGTTATCTTAGGATAGCTTTTAAATCAGAATTTCAGTCCAGTCAAATACACCTAAACTTCTATTTAAGAATGAAAGCAATGTAGAATGATGTTAATTTCTTATTTTGGTGACCTGGAAAAGGAAAAACTTCAGCTAACCTAAGCAAAGACCTCAAAGGCATTATCCTTTCGTAATCTTCATCTCATCCGTTCAAACTTATATAAATGTAAGTCATTTCGTAACAGTTTGGTCTATAAATAGCTCTTACAGTTTCGTACAGTACGAACTTCCCTGGTCTATTCGCAACACCCATTTCAAGCAAAATCATTATTTGTAGTACTGATAGTCTTAGAATGTCTTTGCGTTAATAAGATAAAGAACCTTTTATAAGTTAACATTGAAAAAAACACATTTCTCTCCATGAAATTTCAACATAAAAAGTCCTCTAAATAATGGTACAAAATTGTCCTCTGTAAAAACAAATTTAGAAGACATACCGGTAATGTATGTTCATGTTTATATTTTTATCAACGCAAAGTCATCCTAAGTTTGACAGTACTACATGTATTTGTATAAAATATTGGAAAAAATTCAAAAAACTTTTTGCTTTGCTCTGAGTGTGGCTTTTCAAAATTCGATTATAAACAACTTCAAGTTTGTATGGACCCGAAGACATTCTAAGACAAATGGAATTCTTTTTTTAAAGTTTTATTTGTGATGTTCGTGTAATAAAGAACAACATTCAATCTACCACTTACCTAAATAACCGTATAGTCTAGAATCTTTTTCTTTCAATATTTGGTTGAACATTTCTCTTTTAATTTAAACCAGAAACGGAATATCAAACTTTGGTTTAAAATCTCGCCATCCAATCGACTACGTGTATTTGTATTATCTACTGAGTTAAAATTCAATCTAAGTAACACCACAGAACTGTATATACAGTGGTAACACTGATTTGTATTAATCATAAGGCACAATCTGAACCTTAGAGTCACAGTTTGTTCGGAATTATTCGTATCTAACAAGAATTGACCATTTTTTCACAAAAAATATAAAATTTCAAAATCCAAATTATGGGGACTCTTTTTTAATATAAAAAAAAGTATCATTTACTTTGATGTACTTACGGCTCTATATATGTATGAGGAAAGCATTTCAATCTTCGTTTACATTTTTATATTTCTTACCTCATCCATGTTACACTGTAATGTATATATGTTTTATAAAACTTTCTTTTTATTCTTTATGTAATCTCGTATATAATTTTTAGTTTATAGGAACCCACTGAAAATCAGACTTTTGTCTAAATGGGTAGCGTAAATAAAGTTGTTATTATTATTATTATTATTGTAATTAGATATACAGTTTAAGTCCAGACGTCAAACAGTGTAGTAAATGATTTATTTTTATAGTCTCCTATATAATTACTATAAGTTTATACAAGGCTATTCATGTCCACCATCTTGTCATCCAGAAATTCAAGTTAGGTTAAGTCGAGATTACAGACAGTGAAGATATACAACTTTTACTAAACTAATGTATGGTGGCTATTATCTTACTATTAACCGGTAACGATGACAATTCCTGCTTCTTACAAAGGTACGCACGAATTTTTATTCTTATATTTAAAATTTTCACTTCACGTGAAAAAAATCTACTTACGAGATTGTAATGCATCTTCTTTTCTGAGAAATTTAAAAGTATTCGATTTTCATATATTTGTAGTACTTATGAAGTCTATCTACATAATGTATTATATTCAATACCCAAATCAACCAACGAAAATGGCGAAAATGTCCCTTCAAAGAACACAAAGAGAACGTTGAGCAGGTGACGCGACCGAACTCCCTCCCATGATCACTAACTGTGTATAGTTTTGATGTTTCGTGTACTGTTCATTTTTCAGGTCCACCATTTTGGAGATCATTAAGATTCAAAATTGCTCTTGTTGGATTTTTCGGAGGAGCCAACATCTTCATACAGAGAAGCAATCTGAGTATAGCTATTGTATGTATGGTGAATCACACTGCAGTTGATGAACTGATACTATCACAAACTGATCTCTACTGGAACAGTAGCCGTGATAATTTGAATGCTGCTGCTCATCAGAATGAGACATCTGTTAATTATTGTTTGGATAAAAATCTTGGTGAAGTATCAGACCAGGTGTATACACTTTTTACAACTTTTGAATATTTGGAATGACCAAAATTGATAGGCACATTTTTACCAGATTATCCAATTATCTTCGCCCTTACTTCGAGGGCAATTAACTGATCTAAAACATCATTCAATTAAAATGTATTTGAAATTTCAAGCGGAGAAGCGAATAGTGTAGTATGTAAAGGTGGTTACCGACAAAACAAATTGGTTTTTACATCCAACCTTACTGAATATGTCAGCTATGCATACCGTTTTTCAAGAAATATAATACACTTTCCTTCATTGCCCTTCCTGTAATACTATAATTGTGGAATTTTTGTTTATCTAGGATGGTGAATTCGTTTGGACTAAAGAGACTCAAGGCTTGCTACTGGGTGCTGTATTTTGGGGTTATGTGATATTTCAGATGATTGGTGGATTGATAGTCGAGAAAGTTGGCTTACGACATGGTGTTGGCCCATTTATCATCTTGTTATCGATCTTAACTTTCTTGTCTCATCCAGCTGCTTTGTGGAGTCCATGGGCTTTATTTGCCGTTAGATTTCTGCTTGGAGTAACTTGTGTAAGTAAAATTCTTCGTAGCACTCAGTATTTTCATTTAAGACCGTTATCAATGATAAACCAACGTTGGATTCGCCAACGATAAGATGAATGCAGAAATCTGGAAAATCAATCATTTTGGGTTCGTAGCTAATATCCATTAGATTTAAATCTCACTTTGTCTGTCTGTCCTAGCGGAATAATTATTCATTTTCAGGCTGTTTGTATGCCTGGATTATTCTTTCTTTTGTCCAACTGGGCACCGCTTGAAGAGAAAAGTCGCTTCACCAGTATAGTATTCAATGGTAATGTTGTTGGTAATGCGGTGATATTTCCTATCGCCGGTCTATTATGTTCTCATGGTTTTGCTGGTGGATGGCCGTCCATATTTCACGTTTCTGGTAAGAAACACTTCTTTTTTTTGTATCTAGCTCTATTCTGTGAAGCTGTGAAGCTTTGAGCATCCATAACTTGGTTGTGGGTATTAACAGAAACATTTTACCTTAAAAAAAAGAAATTGTTGTGAAATTAAAACACATTCATTGCTTGTTGGTTGTACCCATTGAGCTTCCAATTTGTGGTCGTTAGTATGCATTTTATTTGCATGAATAAATATATTAGGTGTACATGTACCTTGACTTCTGAATGTCTAATCGTCTGCTTCAGGAATTTTCAGCTTTGTTTGCAGTATAATGTGGTACATTTTTGTATACGACACGCCCGATGAACATCCATTTATAAGCTGTGCTGAACGAGACTATATCAAGTCGTCACTCGAGATGAAAAAATCAACAATTCAAGTATGTTATTAAATTGTACTGTACATTTTTTTTTTGAAACGTCAAATGTACATATTGACTATGATTTGCATATTCAAATACATCTATAACGTCAAATTTTGTTGATTCAAAGGGGTTGAATTATCAAACTATTTTACTTCGCAGAAATTAAGCTCTCTCAGCTTAAGCATTTTGTATCAATTACTCAATTGAGTGACTATAATTCTCAACTTCCAGATGAAAACACCCTGGTGTAGCATTATAACATCGATTCCAGTATATGCGGTGGTCTGTGCCCACATTTCAACTAGCTGGGGGTTGTATTTGATGCTAAGTAATTTACCTATGTATATGAGAGAAATTTTGAAATTCGATGCGACATCGGTAAGTAATTTTGATTTTTATTTAGCTTGGTAGTCAGTGGGTACACTGAAAATATAATTAATGCCTTGAGACATTTTCCTTTCTGCAAGATTTGCTGTGTTTTCAAAAATGGCATTTTACAGCCTTAAGTGATAGTAGAAAAAAATCGATGATTAGCCTCAAACAAAACGTTTTAACCCATATTACATAATGAACCATAATTTTATCATAAACAATAATTTCCAGAATGGTTTGTTTACGATGTTACCTTATATTTGTATGTCAATGGCATTATTATTATACGGTCTTGCTTTAGACAAGTTAACCAAACGATTCGGTCACAGCATATCCAGAAGATCATCAGCTGCTTTAGGTGAGAAATTCATTTCAAATATACGCGAAAAAAGCTTCATTCAGAATAAAACTGAGAATCTAAGAATCACAGCAATTGGACAAAAATCACTCGTCTTAGTTTTATACAATGTTACGATGTGTTTTTCCTGGCGTCCATAAGTACTAAATAGTAAGTAAACTCTAAACTAATTGTTTTAGATTTTATTTTAGGTATGATATTGCCAGCTGTTTTGATGATTGGAATAAGTTATCTAGATTGTCAATACGCCGTATTATCTATAGCTTTCCTGTGTGTTACTATAGCCTGTTTTTCTCTGTTGTTTAGTGGCGTTTTAGTCAACGTCTTTGATATTGCACCGCGATATGCAGGCCAGATAATGACTTTTAGTAACACCCTGAGTAATATTACAGGGATAATCACACCATATGCAGTAGCAAAATTCACCCCTAACGTAAGTAAACTTTATAAATGTAGTGATGTTCTTGTATTATACATTATTCAAAGTAATATAGTAGTCAAAGTTTATTTTTTCACCTGAAAGAACATAAATTCAACTCTTGGCACAACCTTCCACATCTTCACAAGGGGCAAGCTTTTCCGAACTCCCATTTCTTATCATTAAGCACTCTTTTGTATCACGGAAGTTGGCAAATGCATTGATTTGATTGGATTGCATGCTTGCAAATAGAGCGAATCAGGGCCATCGTCAGGTAGATATTGGTAGTTCTTGTCTGACATTGTAGTCACAAGATAGATATAAATCCAATGGCGTATTTAGGCGGTATTTTTGGGTCATACACTCAATCTCCCCTCCGATCAGACCTGTGAAAGGTCTTATTTTGAAATGCTCAAAATTCATCCCAGACCACCTTCAGGTCTCGCCTCAAAGAAATCCAATCTGTTATTATTGACTTTTCAGAATACGTTAGCAGAGTGGCAGAAAGTGTTTTTCTTATCAGCAGGAATTATTGGACTTGGTGGTATTCTGTTCATCATATTCGCCAAAACAGAAGTTCAGAAATGGGCGATTGAACAGTCTGAAAATGACTCTAAGAAAATAGAAGTGACGAAGTATTGAAAGAAAAAAATCATTTGTTTGTCTTTGGTACTTTGTTAATAACATGTAATTACACTTTTAATTTTTGCTAATTGATAACTTCTATACAATTATTATATAATGATATAATAATTAATATATTATAATGAGCAGCGTCAATCGATAATTGATATACTTCCTCATATGAATCGTTGATTTGCTGGTACTAGCCTACTTTATTGCCAAACTGTTATTTCGGATTTCGTTGTGCGATTTCTAAAAAAATCACATAATTTGAAGCGTTATGTAACAGATCTACTCAGCCTATTGTGATTCTCATCACATTTGCAGACCATCTGTTGTGTTGGTCGAGTGACCATTCAAATCATCAATAATCCACCTCAAGCAATCAAATGTTCAATATAATATTTTCATAACATAAATGAGGTATTCTGGTAATTAAAACATTGACTTGTATTGACTCGTTTAGCAATGATTTTGGTTAGCGCTGGTTCTCATAAAAAAAAAACACGAAACAAACCATCAATTTAATTGAGATTGGAAACAAGATAAGCCTCATGGGGTGATTGATAATGAATCTGAATGGTGAAATTCAAGCGTTGCCTCAATTTCCTCAAAATCACGCAATATTGTCTGTAGAAAGTTTGTTGATACTTTTAGCATCATGCTTAACAGTCGTATCATCAACTGCGAGACCAATTTCTTCTTCTCTTATATGATGTACATGGCCCCATGACTGGACTTCGCCCTCAGCCAGTAGACCGTAAAATAGTGATCCGGCCATTAAAACTCCTGCAGAAACATAATATGTCATCTGCCATTCAGATCGTGTACCCTTTCATAAAAAGAACAAAACAAAATAAAATAAAACATTAGATACCTAAGTCTAAATTACCAATACCTCAGAAAACCAATGACAAACATGAGCTTGTGTGAAGAATATGCATGGGTATTTTGGTGCATTATTTGTCTTATATGTACGACCAAGCCCCACTTCACCCTATGTTATGTTTTAGTTTTAAGTCACATGATCATCAGGTTATGACGTAATCTTTTGGCGGGAATATACCCCGCGCACTAATGTCTTCTGGTTGAACTTCGACAAGGAGCAAAAAGGTAAGTACAAGAAATGGCTGTTCATTGTATTCAGTCTTCGATTGATCCCCGGTGTACAGTCTCACAGATCATACGACAGACTTGCGCCATCTCTGGTAAGTAACGTTAGTTAGAATTTTCCAGTCACACCAAATTACCACGATTTCCTTTGAAAGCTGAAGTCTTCGCCATCAAATGAATACACAAGTAGGCCTACTTATTAAAATGACCATAAAAGTCTAATTCTTAAACATGGCCAATTAGAATATATTCTAAATATGTTCTCTTATTGGCCAAGTTTGAGAATTTGAATTTTTTGATTTCCAAATTTTCGATTTCAATTTATGAAGACTTTTGACTTTCAAATTGCTTAAGCAGGGTTACACTTCAATTTTCATTTATGAAATCGTTATAGCTTACTCCTGGACAAATATTACAAATCTGTTTCTTGAATCTTGGCCGACTTGTTTGGTTTGGCATAAATAGATCTGATTGTATCTCATGATATTGACCTATGTAGTAGTGGAGTTGCACGCGAAGTAGACCATTCTTATTCTTTTCGAAACACCCGATGATACTTCTCTTATAAGGAGTCCACTACTATACAACTTTTACACTCAATTTTGCCATGCTTTGAACGAGATTTCGATAACAGAATTGTCTTGGTTGTACGGATTTTTATAATACTTACATTGGTTGTTAGCACGCCGGCTATGTATGGTGCTATAATTCCAGGTGAAGTGGCAAACGTATTAGAGATGCTCATAATAGTTCCAGCATATGCAGGTGTTATATCTGACATGTTCACAAAGAATCCACTCATATGAAAGGCACATAACCCGATTGTAAGGGTTACCATAGTTATAGCTTCTGCGTGTTGATCACATTCCATATAACCTAACCCAATTAACAGCAAACCAGGTCCTACCATTCCTGAAATTGATAGACCCCATTTAATTGCCCTTTATCCTGTTAATGCAAAGGTAGGCCTCTTGTTATTAAAAGGACATGTTATAGCCACCCGTTTGACCAATCGTACCTTAGTCTCAGAAACGGGAATGTTTTAGTTAAACGAAATAATAGTTTTCACAGCTCACTGTCAAAATTTGAGCCTTCAAATCCATGTATGTCCAGAAGTCGTCTTTTCTTGAGACATTTTAGATAGAAAAGACATAATATACAGAAAGAGGAAAAGAAATTTCTAGTTAGAGTTATTTTTGAAGGAATTATGCAATTGTTTGACATTTCTAATACTACGAGACTCAAATCAACCGTCGAAAATGACGAACCATTCCCTTAAAAACAGCAAACATATTCTGCAATATCGTTGCTATAATTTTATCATGAATGTATTATGTACGTACCAATGTATGTCATAAGTTTTCGAGTGTTCAGTATGGACAACATGTTCTTCATTATAATGAAATCAGCTAAAAATCCAGCAAATAGCATCAAAATCCACAGAACTAGGTAAGGTAACATTGAATAAAATCCGTTCTGAAATATCAATTAAAATTACAAAGTCTATTACGCCCCCTTTATCTGCTTTTAATAACATCTTGAACTTTGCGGGAAAATATGCCAGAACAGCGGTGTTCTCTGAGCGGTTATCGGAATGTCAATGTCAGCAACTCCGACCTGCTTTACTGATCAAACGTCTAGAATAGTGAAATTGCAAACGATACATTATTAGTATTTTATTTGAAACTTTCTATAATTCTGAGCGAAAACAAACTTTCGAACTTTCAGTCCTAAAATCAAAATAGATAGTCAGTGACAAATCTGGAAAAAATTATTATGAGCTTACCGTTTCTGTTTTTAACTTTAAAACATCTTTGTAATAAGTTGGTAGTTGAGTAGTAAATAAATAATTTCCAAAATTGGCACAAAAATGAGCAACTATAATACTATATACAGCTTTTGATCTGATAATGGCTGCAAAAGGCACTGGGTTTTTCTACGATGAATTGAAAACAAGAAAACGATTGTTAACAAAACTTTATACCTCGAACTAGTGCTTGTATGCCAAATCTTGCTGGAATAGGGATGTACTTGATCCATAGAGATGTTATCTACGTCACTGATTTGGAAAGACTGAATCTGAATTTGTTGCAGAGCGCAAGCAAACCTTCACGGTTTTAGATCACTTACGATTAACTCAAATGACCAAACAGAGCTGATAATTCACTGTCCTTGAGCACTACCAAGAGATTTGGCCAAGGACCTGTTGGTATACACAAGACGCATTAGCTAAAGAACCTATCACTTTTCAGTCTTTCTTTTTTAACTATTGAAAGCCATCAGAGTCACCGAGAAAATTAAGGGTTAATAAGAACACGGGTCTAATTTCTAAATATACATATCTTACCCTCTTTGTAGCTGTATCTTGTATTCCTAAATAAAATTCTATATATTTTTTCTCTTCTGTTGATATAGTTGGATGATTACTGGGAAAATCATAACAAAATATTAACCAAATACAGGTCCAAATTGCACTGAACATCCCTTAAAAATATAAGACAGAAAACATGCTGACTGCAAAACCTAGAGGAGTATAAACAATTGCTTAATAATAAATTTTCAGCAACCCGTAACACTTCAAATCAGACGTCGATTTACATTTTAGTGGTCCCGGTAGACAATTACAGCAAGCTTCAATTTAATTAGACCGTCGATCCATGTTTTGGGTGTGATAAAGATCTCAAAGCAGCTTAAAGCAAAATAGTACTGCCCTCTGGGTTCTGCAACAGTCTTGCCAACGCTTACGAACTACTAGGAATTTGCATCATTGTTTCTGAGGTCGGAGGGGCTGACATACAAAAAGCGTTCGGTCATTCGGATGGCATAGAAGACTGAGACTCAAGGCCTTTAAAATAAAACAAAATTTCAGACAGCACAGCATTGCTTGTCAGTGTGTATGACCCAATCTGTAGTGAAACTTTGAAACTGTGGCATAAAGTGAATATATTCTGATATTCTAATGCTTACCTATAACATAAAATACAGAGGGCCAGCCTCCATCAAACCCGTAACGAGATAATATACCACCTAATGGTAACACAACTGCATTCCCTAAAGCATTGCCTTAAAAATAAAAATGGTGCAGAAATGTAAGGTGTGGGGTAACGGACGTTATGTAAAGTATATACGAAACGTTCGAATGAGCAAACAAAAAGTTTAATTTATGGTAAGTATTGGGGCTATAAAAAAAAGCATAGCAACCATAAATGTCGGCCAGATATATTTTCTGAAATTTTATAAGAGTGTTTTGTTATAAAAGACAAACCTGCGTAAGCAATTCCTAAAAGTCGACTGCGTTCATGAGGCGGTGACCAGTTTGTCCACAATGTCTGCATTGATGGGTAGTAGGTACACTAAATAACAATGAATACAAAAATTGCCTTGAGTGGTGTAGGGATGAGCCCTCAAAAACATGAATCGACTCTTCTACTGAATTGATCAAACCATTTGGGCCGTTTTATTAGCCCTTTTTATGAATTTTAACAATTCTACTTATAAGACGCAAACGAAGTATGGATACACTATTTTCTGATATAGTGTTTCTGAAAGTCAACGTTTCACATGCTCATTTCAACGTTATCACAAGAAGTTCATTATATAGTATATAGTTACATGAATAGTATATTCATATACCTTTGCTGCTTTATACCTATACCTATTTATAGAATTCTATGCTCGACTAGGTAAAGTCGTGAAATAATTAAATACATTTAGTATCGATTATTTTATAACTATAAAATGATTATGGTGTTATTTAAACAGTTAGAAATGCATATTAATGAGTGAGACCAGATCGCGAAGAGATAGAATTGTATGAGAATATATTTTAAAATATTTCACCATAATGAACAGGATATAACAAAAAAAGATTAGTAAAGAAAAAAAAAGAAACACAATAAACAAAAAGAGTCAGCTTGAAGGTATAACTGCCGGCAATAATTTGACCTATTTTTAATTAATGTAAAAAAGATGAAATATCATTGTTACCTTTATCTTTCTTTACTAAGAGCAGCTAAATGAAAGGTTTAGCGGGATTGACAAGTGTTTGGCAATATTGTCAAGAGATTCTAACACAGGATTATCTATACTGGCACAGAAATCTATCTAGATTTAAGCAATACTGGCAAGGTATTCCAAGAATTGTTCTATGTCGTTACCCTTTCAGAAAAGTCGGTGGCGTTAAACCATTACAAAAGATTTGATCGTATTACTCATAGATTCCGAGAAAGAGTACACCTACAATATACTTTACCTGAAAAATTCCCAACAGAATTCTAACTGCCATAAAAAGGTATGGACCAATCCTAGCTGAGACAGGACTGAGCATGGTTGCCAAGACTATACCAATAAATGACAATCCAATGACCCGCTTCGCTCCAAATCTTGCACTCAGCCAGCCAGTGAACAACTGTAGTAAAAGATAACCCCAAAAGAACGATCCTAAAATCAACCCTTGTAACTTTTTATTCCAATGGAGTTCACCAGCCTGTAAAAAAACATAAGCACTACACTTTATGAGGTAATACTGAGGTTCCCGAACGCTAACTGACCAAGCACTGCTCACTGTGATCAACCAGCCTTTGTTCAGCTCTTTAAAACTAGTCCAGATAGGCTAAGCCAGGCAATTATTTCTTGCCTTGGTGCTTCATGGTTTATTGAAATAATTCAGTCAGATTTTACATGAATCTAACATCTAAGTGTTTTCTTGGAATTCTTAAAGAATATGTGATGAATTGTGAAGCCTTCCTGTGGTACCTGAAGCACCATAATACTTACTATATTGTCCACCTTCTCCACATCTGGGCAATATCTACCTTCTGGTGTGTGATGTGGTTCTATAATCGTGTAATTGATAGAGTTGGTAGTGTTTACACTTTGAGATGATTGTCTGGGATCAGCTACCATGGAAACAATTGCTATGGATAGACACACTCTCGTGGCTTGCGCGACAAGACTTCCGAAGAAGCATATGATGGATAATTGAAACCGCTTCGACGTCCACCATGGTACTGCAAATATCAATAAATCAATGAATCAATTACTCGATCATATTTTAAGCGAAAGTGACTAAAACGCGACCCTCTACCTTTTATGTAAAAGAGAGCTTCAATATCTATGTCTGCTCTCATTCTTCAAAATCATTTATTTTCCAAGTACTACTGGTAGAATGGATCTTTGAGAATATGGGTTATTACCCGTGTGATGTCGCGAATATGAGTTATTATCCTTGTGAGGCCTAGAATATCCATGTGAGGCCGAGGACATGAGCTATTATCCACCTGGTCGAAATATGAGTTATTATCTGTGTGAGGCATGAACGTTTCATATCTTTGGTTCTTTCACAGAGGAAAAGGTAGTTAAATGATTTAATACTACATAGACTGACCTTGAACAATATCAATTTCTGCAGGAAGTGGCGGTATTTCAGATATATCTAGTACACTATCGTGGGGAATGCTGAAACCAGATCCTGCCCAATGTTTGGAGCTACTCAAACTTAGTGATGATCCGGGCGATAAATAGTCTTTGCCTTTACCTTTTCTGGAATAAGACCAAATTACAAGAATTCTATGACTGGTAACTGGTAACTCGTTCCACAGAAAGCGGTCACGAAGGGAGGGGCCAGACTAAACGTTTTAATCGACCTAAAGTGGATCCTGTGTTATAGGCTATATCAAAATATTGGCAACTTAAACAAATGAACAGTTTGAAATGATGACTAATACCAGATACCATATAACATTATTATCGACAATCGTTTCTAATATTAACTTATCATCAAGACAGATAGTTTGGTTAAGAAGCACAAGCAAAGTTTTATAAGCTAACTCAGTGGTTGATAATGGCTGTTTCAAGATGAGAATAACATCACAGAACGATATGCACATTTATGGTGTAATCTTGCATGTCCACACACGTATGGAAATGCATATGACTGTTTGGGTACATCGATAATGTGCACAGTCGCGTCCTTGTTAATTGTTCCATATTACACACCAAGGTGCACAGGAGCATAACATAACCGAGCAAAAGAAACATTTATGATATAATCTTGTGGATCGACACAAACATGAAAAGACCAATGATTACGATGGTACACAAAAGAATTCCAATCCAAAAATTTTTAGATTTATTAGGTGGGTGATAATATCTAGCCTAAAATGTCTCTTTCATTTTTTCCGATTTTCTTACTATCGTTATCTAGCAATTCAAGCAATTAGTTTTTGTCGTCGACCATTAAAATATAAGCGAACTGCTGTTGCAAAAAAAAACGATATGTTAATTTTCAAAAGTACACGAAAATAGATGACATAATTACAGTTTGTATTACAACAACCTTTGTCTATTCGAATGACGTACACATATGAACTACCAATGTGCACAAGGGCATAACAACATAATACATTATAACTGAACAAAAGAAAAATAAAAATTTCTGAGACGACACATACCTTGTTTTATCTACTTTAGAATCAGTAGAAGACATATTTCTTTACGATTAGGGTTTTTTTTTTTCAGTCCGTTTAGTAGTTTTCTAACAGCCTCCAAAAAGCATAACGTTTACGTAAACATTTGACCTGCGAAATGCACTATAACCGATATGCACTACAATAATTACTGAATCGGATATCGCAAGCTTAAAGTGTCTTTTCATTTTTACAACTATTCGGCGAAATTTTCCTTATTTAGTGGTGGACCATTAGTTAAGGATAGTTAAATTTTCTAATTTTCTAAATCTTTAATGACTTTAATCAATGTAAAACGAAGTGACATGAATTAGACTTCTGTGAACTTCTTTCTGCTTTGGATTAAATTGAGCAACACCATGTACATTTTGAGGAAACGTTTGACTTTATAGCCCCATTAGCCTACTCTTTTCCAACTTGTGTGGGGTCAAAATAGTGCATAGTCCATAGTACGACAATATAATTGAAATTAAATTCAACAATTTCGTTTCGTTATTATTTATCGTCGGTCTTTAATGGGGGCGAAACATGAAACATTGCGAAATTGTGAACTATTTTAATCAAATTGATAGTACGGCGACTATGGCATATTGTCTCATTCTAGAAGCGATTTGTCCGACCTATTAATTCCTGTAACAGTAATATGTTTATATTTTATTCCGACTGGAACTGGACTTGGGATTGATCAGATGACAATGTCCACTTGTCTTGGAATATCAAAGCGGTAATTAAGAAAAAATTGTGATCGAATTCTTACCTTAGAAAAACAGATCTGCCCAGAGACTCGGTCGATTTTGTAAATGAAGGCTGTATCGTGGTTGAAATTTCTCTTGTCATTCTACCAATGAAATACGTTTACTAAGTACACCATTAATTTTATATATATTTTAACATAGTAACACTATAACCTACAATAATAGTTCACATAAGGATATTATGCTTCTAAATATATTCAATGTCCAATTCTTCATGGAATAATAATAATGGATTACATATTGGTTGGGCTACACAATGTATCAGAACAGGTACGAATAGAATATTTTAAAGAGTCAATTATCACTTCTGCTACCTCAATTAAATGTCTGTTGTCATTGCTAATGTAGCATCTACATCTAAGGGTAGTATATTAGATAATACTACGTATACTTTTAACACCTTTAGTCCTTGACAATAATACCTCTTTGTTCTGAGTCTACCCAACTAATTAATCTTATACTTATCAAGTATTATTAAAGATTAGGCCTATGCATTGTGTTCCTGTGTTAACAAATGTCAACATTCTCATGGTCAGTCCCTTGACCAATCAACGCCTTCTTGCATTAGCTTTATCCATTCAGGTCTCAAGGATATGGACGCTTAGGTCTCTCAACCAATCAGAATATAGTTCTTATCTTAGAGCCTGACAAAAAGGAATTAAACCTGATTCAAGGGAGATATCCAAGAGAGATCTAGGTAGAACTATAGTGAAAGGGTCATGTAGTTTTGAGATTTCAATTTCCCGCTCCCACTGAGCCCCTGCCCTTTTGGTCTCGGGATGATAGAGTTTAGATGTTCCTGTATTTTATTTGTATTAATAAATAAGACAATTATATGGATATATACTTCTGTGATATTTATTATACTTCAACGTTTCAATGTTGTGAGACGGTGACGGTGTGAGAACCACATTGAAACGTTGAAGTTATAAATATCCCAGAAGTATATATCCATATTATATCCATATAATTGTCTTATTTATCTATATCTTGTTCTTCTAATATGCCATTGAAGGATTATTTGTATTAATGTTCCTGTATTTTACCCGTATTGATGTTCCTCGTTGTACCTGTATTGATGTTTATTGTTCCTGATGTTGTCCTTCCCGAATAAATACTCTACAAACCTTCAAAGCCGTTATGTTATGTTTTGTTACAGTTGTTATATACCAATAAACCAACTACTAGCGATCCGATCTGCAAAGGGAATCCCGAAATCCTAAACAATATATTGACGAAACACTCGTAGCAGGTAATGATTTTTTCAAATATAATAAAGTATATCAATTATAGGTGAAGTACTCCATTCTGAAAAGTGGTATCGTGTATCTAGAAATGTAAGCATACCCTGCCTGGCGCCACGTCCACCATTGCAGCTCAACTTACACAACAAATAGGAAGGTAAAGGTATGTTAGTAAATGTTCAATTCGTCATATAATGATACTATTGGATCAATTATTGTTTGTATGAGTGTATAAATAAATAAGCCAAGTAGTACGATCGATTCGAACTGTAACAAACGAAAACCATAATCCAAAATAACATATTGACGAAACATTAGTAGCAGCTAATGAACTTTTCACAGTAGGACGTATCAATTAGAAGTAAATAAATATTGCATAATGAAAATAATATAAAGGTTCAAGGTTCGCTGCAATCTCATTGCATAAACGAAAATCACAAATCTAGAAATGGATGTTATTTAACAATGTTTAATTTTACTCATTTATTTTTTTTGCGTCTCTCTATGCCATACATGTAAAATTTTAGATTGTAACTCATTTTACTCTATTTCATTAGAAGGTTTTATTCTAACACATTCATAAGGGTCTCTCTGTATGATATCCAATATATAATTGTTTAAGTGGTCTAAAGTCGGTTGCAGTCTTAAAGCATCTCATTGAAATACTCAAATCAAGAAATAGACTGACAACTATCAAAAGGTATGGCAGCTTTCAACTGGTTGTCAGGTCGACAAGATCATATTTTGGCTAAAAATCCACATCACTTGTGCCAGAGCCGTACTCATCGTATCCCGAATATGGATTTTGACCTTGTCGGGGAGGTTTGACGAATGGGGCTGTGGTTTGGACACGATGAGACTTATGTTTCAACTACATAAACATCTAAAACAATTATAACGGTCAGTGTAAATGAGGTTTCATTTGGGGTAAATTAGTCCGAAACGCGTTTACTCATTTACAGCCCGATCAATCCATAATTTTTTCATGGTGTCAAGATTTTATTGAATTGCATGCATGAAGCCCAGATAAAATTATTTATGTACTAAATTAAGTAGCCATTTTCTAATTGAGGTCAATTTGGTTTTAATCTATGCCGTGTGAAAGATTGGTGACCTTTAAGAAGTCATCTTTAAAGTTGACACAGCTGAGAATTGGTAGGCCTATATATAATAAAATGTGTTTGTTCGTTTTTATAGATATATAATGTATGTACATTTATTAATAGTAATGTTTTAATAGACTTTCGGTTCTTTTAAATTTTTGTCCAGGTATTTTTTCGGAAATTAAAATCTGCTTTGTAACATATTGTAAATCTGAATTTTAATGCACAGGTCTACAAATGCTTGCAGGATTGTTAATGGGGTACATTGATCGATAAGGTTATCTTATTTGTGGTAGATATTGTACGTTCGTTAAACAAGGTTATATACAATGTTATATCTATCGAGTTAATTTAATTGAAAGGTATTCATGCATTCACAAAATGCACTACACTTTATGTTTATATGCTCTAGATTTCACACACACATTTCAAATGCACCAAATAAGATAGGTCTATTATTATTTAATAATTGCCAAAACTAAACTTTATAGAATGTACTATTGGAAAAATTTAATGCACAGTCTTACCTTATTGTATTTGTTTTTACAAAATATATCGAGTTCAAGGGTTTAATGTCAAAATATAACATCCACTGTAACAAGAAATTAAAGCTAGGCAAAATGTTATTCCAAAACTCAGCTGTGAGCTCCTATCTTTAATATCACGTAACCTCTGATTACCAATGTCTTATCCCGAATTTTGCTGACAACAAACCAAATAACGTACTTTTACGACCCCTCCTTATGCATACAGTATAGGATATGATATAATTGGATACTACTATAATCGTATTGTATTTATTTGTCTACATTGTAGAATTTCATTTATAATCCTATGGCCATGGAAGCTTTCCAAATCGTGCATAAAAACAATAGAAACTAGAAATGTCAACAGCTCCTGAATGTGACACGATACCTAGACCTATGGCTTTATAGACTAACTAAAATAAGATTACTTGTTCGCTTCTTTGTTGTTTTTCTGATAGTTTTCGTCAGTGTTTTAGAGAACTTTTTTTCACCATTGTTGTATGCGTTTTGCAATAAGTCACTTCCGGTTTTCTTAATATGCTCCGTTGTATATTCATTTCCCTCAAGTGTATAATCAAGTCAGAAATCCTGTACTTTTTTAAGGTTTTCCCTACAGAAAATGACCAGAATAAAAAAAAGTAATTAATACAAAAAAACGTGACAAATCGATTTACCACGCAAACAAAAAAACACGAATGAAAGCGAGAGCTAAGGTTCACGTACCTGTAATGTCCATCGAATAGAATATCCCTGACTTTGTAGACATCGACCATTCCATTCATTACTGATTCGCTATCTTTATGTAGCCTACTTTCATGGTACGACCTCTATCTGTTTATCTTGATTTGTAGTTCAGTCTTTCCTCACTGGTAAGAATCAATACTGACGTCTGCTCTATTCACAAAGAGTAGGCATCGACATAATATGTTATCACTGTGAAGGTTGATTATTGATATTATTTTTTTGCACCGTCGATATGCATGTAGGTCTATTCGTGGATCATAAATGGTGTAGTATGTGTTAAATTATAACAATCTTTAATACTTCATTAAGTATTCCAGTCAAAGAGTGCATGAGATCTCATTCTGACGTCAAGTTCGGGGGGGGGGGGGGGGTGCATCCGCTGTTTATCATACTGAAATATATCCTGCATAATCTGCTACTAGTTTATTAGACACGATGAATTCGTTGAGATCTATTCATTATTTCATTGAAGGGGTGGGGGTCCTAGTAACACTGTGAAGAATTACCCCGCTAGTACTTTCGTCCGGGTTCCATTTTGTCTGTTCAGCAGTAACTGTAATCCAATATGATGACCGTAAGGGCGCGAAATGCCTCGTCTGGTGAAGAGTAGACAGATTCAAAAGGATCCAAATGAGATAATTCAGACAACTATGTACAAGCAATTTGTTATCTATTTGTAGGATGGATTCTTTCAACTCTACGTAAATTATGCATGAAAATATTGGGATTCTTTTATGGGGGGAGGAGAGAGACTCGGGTGGTATTTACAGTTTCTTAGGTGAAGATGTGCAAGGCTTGAATTCTAAGTCTGGATAACTGTGACACGTCTCGTCTTGAACAATGAGACAGTTACCTGTCACACCTGAATAACGCATGCGCATTAGACGTAATCACCTTTGAAAGGTAATTCCGTTTGTTGACATTTTTGGACGCAGATTCTGCTATATTATGATTTAATTTCCACTGTTTGCAACAATTTAAAGTAAGTAAATCTGTTTTGTTCATGTCATGTCATTTATTGAGTTCTTGAAAAATCACCACACCTGATATGCACAGAATTCAACATTCTTATTGTGTTAGTCATTCCAGAATATTTTCGACGCCATTTTTGAACATAATTATCAAAAATAAAAATTCTCAAAGTAAATTATAACTTTTCATTTGTGTTTTTAATTTGTCTGCTAGTGCCGTTTGTCTTTTAAAATACATTTTCCGAAGCAGATCGTTATTGCAGATATACAATGTTTCTTTTATTAAAGAGTAGCCTATTATCTCATAAGGTCTGGTCAGAAAACAAGATAAAGGTATTATTGAACTCCCTTTAAAACTATTTGAAAATATTTTGAACTTAATATTTAGTAAGAGTTATTGTGTAAAGTTTTTCTATTTGTATAAAATGTTTTATATACTTTTTTAGGTCAAAATGCAGTCTGGATACGGACCAGCATACTACTATGCTGGATCTAGGGATGGCAGTGTGTCAGAACCCTATGCAGCCAGTCATATAGATTCCACAATGAAGGCATATCCTTCACAGCAGAGTATTGATACTAGATCATATATCACTGGTAGTAAAAGAAGTTTGTATTCTACCTATACATCTTATACTACACATACCAATATGTCATATGCTTTACCTATTGTTACTAATGCACCTTTATTAGAAAAGAAGCCACCAGATAATTGGGGATTAGCTTTTGTTTCCCTTTTCATCAATCCTATTTTTGGACTAATAGCCATCCTCCTTGCAGGTAATTTTTACATTTACATTTTATTTGCTTTTCTTAATTGTAAGTGACAGTCTAGCATTCAACAAAACCTATCCACAAGGTCTTGCTATTTATGGCTTGTATTTGCACCAATTAAATTTGCTGTCTGATGTCGGAGGATCCTGTATTTATAGAAATGCTTAGACATAAATGAACTCACCATCACAAAAGCTGCTCAATACCTAAGGGCCTTTGCAGTAGCTATGTCATAAAATACTTAGTTTTGGTGGGATTGCAAGTTTAGGAAACAATTTACAATTTATGATAAAGACTTTTACATGGATTCAAAAGTTTAAATGAGCTGTTATGTTTATCAACTTATATATTTATAATTTTCAGAACAATCTAAGATCTACTTCACAAAATGTAACTATTTGAAGGCATCGCAATATGGAGTTTATGCTAAAGGAGCAGCTTTGGGAGGAATAGCTTGTACCATCATTTTACTGGTCTTAATTATAGCTATAGCTGTTAACCAACATATCATGTACAACATCTAAGTCTAAGGATGTAGTTTCCCGTTTTGATGGAAATGAAGGAGAGGAGAGGAAGAAAGGGGGGGGTCTTTACTGTATACAATGTATATTATGCTCATGCAGTTTTTTAATGGAGCTCATACCTGTGATTTCAAACCTAGCTGAGATATATTCCCCCAAATCTCATATATGTAATCTGTTCAAAGAAAATCTTTTGTGCTAAAAAATGGCTTAATTTACAGTGTTATGTCTACGTAGTCTGTAATTTAATTGGATATGAGATATGGTGCTCTGGATCCAAAATTGCCTTTAATGGGGAGACCTTTGATCCTATAATGGAGAAAAAAATTGCTTCAAATCTAGGGCCCATGATGTTAACTATATGTATATTTTAATATGTAAATTAATCATTTTATCATACTAAAATTCATTTTTATGACAAATATATATATATATATATACCTTTTCTTTAAATCATTTTAGCATTTAGCATAGCATATCTTATTAGACATATTTCATATGTCAAAGATTTTCATGATACAAGAACTTCCATATAATTAATAAGATGGAAACATTTTAATGACATTTCTTATTGTAGATGATTTAATAAAAAAAAAAACAATGAATTATTTTATAGAATATAATCCCTAATTTGACTCTAGCTTTTTAACCCCAGTCTTTGGTTTGATATCAATGTTAATTGTAATTTTTGTTTAAAATTTTATTCAGATACAGAATATTAGGCCTAATTCCGTTTTGATTGTACATAAACCATCATTTTCTATCATTTTTATAAAAATTAAAACATAATCCATTTCTACCAGTGTCATTTTTATTCGAATTTATCTTTATCAATCTTGTATATCATGTTAATAATGCTACAATGATCAACTGTTAGGCGGCCAAAAATATGTAACAGGATGCACCAAATCAATTCTTTTTTTATTTTAAACCATCTATGTACCATGGAAGGATCGTGTCTATCATCAAAGCTGCTGCATTTCCAACTTGACCTCAACAGTTGCCCCCACCCCCCTCCAAATTTAAATCGAGGTAGTTGTCCAACAATTGACCCTTTTTCTACGACTTTGAGGATCTAAATAGGTCAATAAAATTTGTTTCACTTCAAAATCACTGGGTTAGAAATTCGGTCTAATATGATCTATTACCAGTAGATTTTCATTAAAATATTACTTGACACTTTTACACCTATATAGTTAAAAGATCTGACTTGACTTGACCTCTTCCACTAATGGACCTCAACAAATCACCAAATGTGTATTTTTGATTTTTATTTCAGTTTTCTGGAAAATATACAACCAATCAAAATATCCTACAGATTACATTTACTGTGAATACCATAATTAATATTTGTGTATAATATAACTAATATTTTATAACTTTTATATCATGTGATCATTTCACTAACTTGACTTAAACAAAGTACAATATATACAACAAATTTAACAATAATATATACAATTTTTTAACAAAAACAAGCATTTCATTTATCATAAGCATTACAGGTAAAGCTATTTAATAACACTACGTAAAAAAAATATGTTATATAGCTTTATCTTGTGGTTACATGGTACTATAAATATAAACAGTGATATTTGTTGCTCAAAACATACTCTTATCTGAAGACTTATATAATACAATATAAAACTCTTCTGATAGTGTGATTACAAACATATATGTCAGTTTCCAGTCATACATTCCCTCAAATTATAGATATCCAGTACCTATCAAGTAATGTGCACATTTTACTAGCACAACGAAGAAAGGTTTCGATAGGCATTAAAGACTGAAAAAATCAATTTATTTCATTATTGGAGAAAAGGTTTTCAACTGCTAAAAGCTACTAATCCTTTGTTAGTGACAACACAAAGAGGCACAAATGTGGTGATACATAAGAACTTATCTGATTCCATTTGCAGCTTCGCATTCAATGTTTCCATCTGAAACTACTGCAGATATTTTTTGACAGCATTAGTTGTAAATTAAATCAGCTAAGTTCATTAGTTCATGTAATATGTCTTCAATACTACACCGGTGAATCATTTCATATTACTTTTAAAATCATGTCAAATTCAATTACACATTGACTTCATTTTTTTCTCTAGGCAAGCTGGTAATTGTAAAGTCTACCACCCAAAAATGTGAGAAAAAAAACTGGTGTAAATTTCAAATAGAAAAAAAAACAAATATTAAAATAGCACTTACAAGAATAAATTACAATTAGGGTGGAATGTTCAATTGTCAAATTAGAAAAAAAGAGTCAGTTTTATAACTAAAAAAAATTTGTTTCTTCTGAACATCCTATTTTTTTTTTAAATTGGCCAGTCTAACTTTCTTTTCTGGCTTTCAAATTTCTACTTGTCCACACAGCTAAAATCAATAAATAACAAATATTTTGAAAATTTCAGGTCAATGCGAGGCAGGCTGGATAACAGATCTTGAGATAGTTACAAGGGTGACAAAATAACAAAAATACCAGGTCATCCTGTTATTTATTCAACAGGCATGAAAGATAACTTTTTATTTAGGTGGAAGAATTTCAAGTTATATGGCTCTCAGGGATTATAATTCATTCCAATACAGTCACTATCACAACTTTCACTAAACTAAAGAAAAAAGATCTCAAAAGTTCTCAAATTTCTTCAAATTCATCTTTACATAAAGAATTCCATTTACAGGTCACCGGCATCAAATAAATTAAATGCATTTCTTTCATTTTTTCTGATTTTTCCTCTTTTTATTTTTACCATGTTCATCGACACCCAAACTTGTGTTTCTTGGTACTAAAAATACGTCTCCATCACTTGACTGCTGTAATGAATATTCATTAGGGTCATAGGGTTGACCATGTTCGTCTCGCAGGGAAGTAAATATTTCTTGATACATCTGACTAAATCGGGCCTTCATTTCTCGTGTTTGTTTATCAATCAACTGTCGCTCATTGATTAGTTTATCGCGGGTATGTTTCAATTGTTGTAGTTCATCTTCCACCCCATACACCAAGTCCATTTTCCGTTTTCTGCAATTCTGGGCAGCAACTTTATTCTTACCCCTCCGTCTGATGTCTCTGATTAGCTGTAACTGTGCAGCATTCAATTTATATTTGGTCAGCATCTCATTAAATTCCTCCACCGGTGAATCTGTGATCTGGTCCACAGTGAAAGGCACTTTTAATTCTGCTGCTCTTTTGGCATCTTTAGGAGCTGGACCTTTATGTTTTGGACGGTCGTTCTTGATATATTTTTTAACCTCCTTTGGTTGCATTCCGGGTGGGGCAGGGTATGTATGATTGTGGCGTATATGCTGGGAGCCTCCGGTTGGTTTGCTGAAGTCTGTATCATTAGATGATGTGGAGTAGTTGCTAGGAGATGAGGCGCTACCGCTGTATCCATAAGAATTAAAACTAAAATGGTTATCGTCTCCATCATATTTAGATGATTTAGAGTAGGTTGGACTACCATAATCACTACCACCAGTAGCTCCCTCTACACCATCATAAGGAGACATTGAACAGGAATCTTGAGGCTCCTGAAATAACAAAAGATCACAACATGAATGACTTGATTTGAATACATTTATTTTTCACAAGTTTTATACAAATCATTTTTTTCCAGACAACTGCACACTTAATAGAGGCAAATGACAACCATTTTATGAACATTAAATCTACCCCATTCGTCTCATTCTAACTGGGATAATTCTACAGCCTTGAAACAAGAGTTCTTTACTAAAAGCATTCTGGTTTTCCAGCCTGCCATCAAGACGATCATTTAAACAATGGAACTATAACAAACCTGGAAAGGTGAAGCACTACCCATGGATATAGCTGAATCACTACCTGTTTCATCTAACATCTGAATAGTCTCTAAACCTATAGAATAGAAATCAGTTTTATGCAAGGACAAGGGAAATATTTTACAAATAATTCTTAGATCAAAATAAAATAAGTAATGCAGTTCGATACATTTGACACATTTATATCTTAACAATGCCAGTGAAGAATTAATCAGCGACAAAACTGAGATAGAGGCAAATTTGACATCCCTCAATCCATTAATGAACTTTTCCATGAATCCATATAATGTATGCTGGGTTAGGTGAGTAAGACAAATCCATTCATTGGGTGGGGTAACTATTGAATTAAGAAATGTTTTTACCTTCATTTAGAGCTCTGTCCAAGTCTTCATCATCTAAGAGCAGATTATCTAATGTTTCTGTTTGATTAATGGTGGTAGATATATTAGATAGAAACATATCATTAGTGGTCCATTCTAACTCAGATACACTACTAGTATGTGGTATGGATGAATTATAATCTTGAGATGTTAGTAATCCTACAAATCAAATAGTATTATAAACAATACAATTAAACTATATCTATACCATGTACAGGTAACAGAAGAGAGTCAGAAATCAATCTGATTGAAATGCAGTCAGAAATCAATCTGAAAATAGTATACATATAAAACTAAATTGGAATTTCCAATAATCAATGTTATTTATCAGTAAGTTTTTGCCAGTATCATCTCTGTGACTGAACCAAAAAATTGACACTAAAAAAAGAAACAATCTCACTTAGCAAATATGACCACAAACAATTTATTAATGCAATTCATAAAACATACTTATTATTTCTTGAAAACTGAGCATTTTCAGTTATTCTGACAGCAGACGACATTTCGAACTCAAGTGACATTTCAAATTCAAATCTGTCATGAAGTTTAACAAAAATAAATTTTCAGGAAATGAGTCAAGTATATATGATTGTGCCATATGACTGTCAAAGATCGTGCCATGACCTTGTGACTATCAGATTATTGTAATTTTTGTTTACCACTGACCAGAAATGGCAGATAAGATGTTGACATCATAGTATCTCAAGACAGGATGTAATGCTAAAATTTGTCAAGGAGTAAAGGAAATTATCTATTGTTGGTAAAGTACAGGCGTATCTCATATTCTATGGGAACACCAGACCAATACAAATATTCTTTGTTAGCTTGGTGGATAATTAATATTGTAACAATACACACTTTATGTGAAAATGTTAAATTTTACACAACTGTATTGAACCAAACAATTACAACAATATTTGATGCAACAGGGAATTTTCAACGACACTCTCCAACTTCAGAAACCTCACGTTAACGCAGAATTGAAGATGTTCAAATTTTAACCCTATAGGCTGCAAAATTACATGATATACAGCCAAGCAGGTGTTAACAAGTGACGCCAAATTACATTAATGTCATAAAATTTAAGTCAAGTTCAGGGTATATGATGTTAGAGTTTTTCAAAATCACGGTTCAAAGGGTTAAAGAGCACAAACCTGTATCATTTATTGGGGACTGCAGTGTGGTGATGTTGGTCTCTGTTGCCATGGGAACAGGTAATGTTGCATTCTGTAACAAGACACTGTTATCTAGGGACAAAGAACTGGCATTGTTAACATCCACATCTATACTGGAGTCATTCATTTGATTATTTGGTGGTAAATCTAATAAATTTACTAAATCTTGCCATCTATCTTCAAAACTTTCTTGACGATTGACCTCTGATGGTAGTTGCTATAAAATACAAACCTCAAATTATTGCTAGTACAGTAATCCTCACGGTACTACAAAACAACACTTTATGTCTGCCACTAACCGTGGCGATATTCCATGCGTATATCACTTCCTAGAAACTAGTGGGCCATATTTGTGGAGTTAGACAGGCCTAAGCATAATGATGTCAACCTTAAATCTACCTACCAGAAGAGACTGGTTGTTATTATTATTATCAAAATAGGTTGGTTCTGGTTGTAATGTAACATAAGTCACCGAGTTCTCTGACGGTTGTGGTGGTGGTGACATCATGGGAACTTCATGTATTGGGGATGTAGTTTGGTTTAAGATGGTGGTATAATCTGATGGTGGTACATCCTCAGATAATGGTGGTTGGAGTGGTTCTGATGGTGCTGATGGATAAACTGAACCATTGGTAGAGATGGTGGTGTCAGGGAGAGTGAAATTACCCACTTCTTCATTCAGAAAATCTAATGCCTCTTGTAGTGATAAATTCTAAATAAGAACAACAGATACATTGAAAGATAACCAATCAGTTACATCTACACCAGGTTGTGAGAAAGATTTTATAACTTGCACTTTTTCTCAGGAAGAAAGTATGATCACATGTATACAAAAATCATGTCTCCCCAAGGACAGTTTCATCAAGTCTCTCTTATCCCAACTTCCTCTAGAAAATCAGAAAAGACAATGCACTATGCTTTTATCACATCTCTCAAGCTAATATAGAAGCAAAATTATTAAAATTTGATGTCAAAATATCCTGCCCAAAGTTTGCTCATTTTCATAATTATGTGAACACGCAAACATACACAGGCTAAGTAGTCAATAAATTGTCAATGTTCTATGTGACACAAGATATCTAATATTAAATCATTCTGTTTCAAATTGAAACAATGGTCCTACCTCATCTATATGCGTAAGCTGTGTTTCACTCAATATATCAGTAATGGCGATATCTTGAGGCATCTGTGGTGGGACTTGTTCTTGCTGTAATGGTATCCATTCACCTATATAATATAAGTAACATATGCATTGTGAGAGTGGTAGTTAAGCAAGATAACATAATATTCAATTCATCACCACTAAGTAACTGATGTCCAATGTGATCTGTTAGAGTATATTCATTCTCAGAGCACTAGGCTGTGACATTGTTAATAATTTCTTTGCACAATTCAAAAAACTATGTAAAAATGTTGTGTTTTTCAGCTTGCATAGTAAAATAAATAAAGTTGAATTAATCTGAAATAATGAACATACCAGTTTCTCCATCTTGAGTAAAATTATCAGTGAGCCACTGCTGTTCCTGATTTTTCTTTTCATCCTGCAGTTTTTGACGTAAAGATTCGAGTTCCTTGTGCTGTAAAAGAAAAGAAAATATGAAGCTGCAAGAATTACACATAAGGATGTATGGACTTGTCTTTGAATTTTTGACAATTTTAAATTTAAGCATGACTTTGATTTAAAAAAAAAATTATCATTCACCTTATCTCTTTTTTTCTGAAGTTCTACTTCCTTTTCACGTTCTAGTTCTCTTCTGAGTTTCACATCAAAAACATCTTTACCAACGCCCAAATCAATGTCCTGGCGCCATAACACATCAATCAAATCCAAATCCTGAAATATTCCAAACATAACACTGTGAATTTCATTTCATTAATGATGTCAATCTGGATGCAAATTTTTATTTAAAATTAACTTTTATGTTAACAAAAATTTCTTTTGTGTTTATTTTTTATATTAATTTTGTAGTGTATCCTTTCTTCAAGGAAATATTTCTGTCCTATTATTTTCTTTGTTGTCGTCATATTAGTATATTTATATCCAATTTATTTTTTTGGTTTTGACAAGTTTACGTAAAATTTCTCACCCATGATGGATTATGAACAGGATAATAATATGGAGATTTAGCACATTGCTGATAATGTGGACAGCTATTCCTGGATTTAGCATTATCTTGATAATGTGGATAGCTATTTCGCAAAGAAGCATGCTGATACAGCTGCTGGTCATTTCCTGTTTTAGCATTATCTTTATAATGGAAATAGTTATTCCTGGATTCCCTATCAACTAAGTGTTTTGGATAACTATTTCTGGATTTAGCATAATCCTGATAATGGGCGTTATTGATCCTTGATTTAGAATTATATCCAGACTTTTGATAGTTATTCCGAAATTTGGCACAATCCTGATAATGTGAGTTCCTAATTCTGTCCTTATGAAACATTTTCCCTGAGAATAATCCACAAACTGAAATACAGTGGATAGTAACACCACCGAAAAAAAAAAGTCTACACCCACAAACACTTCAAGATGTCTGATTACATTGATACAATGACATCAAGGATGCTGGTCCTTCAACTTAAATCTATACTATTGCCATAATTGGGCAGTCTATTTATAACTCTAGTAATGTTAGAAGAGTAACATCCTTGTTCATATTAAGGAAATGCATTGAGTCATGTGTCCATAACCACATATTCTTAGAATTCAATCGGATTCTTGCTTCTGCTTCGAGACACGTAAACCTTTCAATCTTAATCTCTATGACAAACTCAAAATCCAACCAGCATACAAAAATACAGAGATCAGAGTAAAAAAACATCCACACTACAATTGTTAAATTTCTAAAGATTGTGGTAAGATAAAATGAGTGACAGCCAGACATGTCATATGACATGATTAGCTTTTATCTTGTCTAACTATGACCTAAATAAAACAAACCATATAATTTCAGTCTGTCCTATTCACAGAAGACATATGACCTTACTGAAGTTTTAAATCAAACTCTTTGATTTTTCACTTCATGCATTTATCAACTTCATGAGTTGAACTGCCAATTTTTTCTACCATCCAAATGATTTTCTATGAAAGCCCTTCAGACCAATAATGACAACTTGACCATCATCACAGACAAAGGAAGGCCCAGATGAAAAAGATGACTGTAGGCTTTTTTTCTCCACCTGTCCACATCAGAGTGTACTGGATAGCAGAGATGCTCGCGCTTTAGTTAAGAGTTAGCTTTGAATTGCCTGTAGTGGAGAGGCCTAGCTAGTGCTTGCTGTGCCTGCTGAATTGCCAAGTTAAGTCATTGAGCAAATTTGGTGAAATATGGATTATCCTCTGACAAAAAAGGTATCCAGCCTGGCAGGCATGAATAATGAAGAAGTTATAAGAATATGGTCTATTTGTGTCTACTGATACCGGTACTGCTATTAAAAAGTAAGTAAATTGTGAAAAATGGGTATAAAAAAGGAAAATTGGCCTAAGACAGGATTGAGGTCTTAACCTGAAATCTTATCTATCTCTATCTCGTACCCTGACCACCTTCAATATTTGTTCGATAAAAATAGAAATCTACAGGCTATTGAGTTCACTATAATCTAAACCAAAGATTTATTTATAGAAGAGCCAACCTGTTCCAAACAAAGAGATAAAATCAACTGTGACCTAGTTTATATCACTTTTATTTGAAGGTGATATATATATAATGTCTGGGACAAAACTAATAATCTTGTCAACTATTCACTTATGTTTTATACTTGATATAAGCTAACTAAAAGAAATAAATAAGATGGTGCTCTATATTCAACTGTCAAGTCTCTCATTTAAGCTTAGGTCTTATAAAGAAAGTTTGGATAAAAGTCAATGCAACAATTGTAGAGTTGTCACAATTATTTCCTTTTCATGGGTTGCTAATAATGAATAAGCTTGGCTTTTAAAAACATACATCAATGTGCTAATGACATTTCTTTCATGGAATCATTTTAAAGAAGCAATGACCAGATCTTCTCCTGCATTTCAACAAAAAAAAAAGGAGACTGGATGACAATTCTGGGACATACATTCTGTGTATAAAATTAAATGTGTATATCCCTTTAACCACAATGGCACAATGTAGGTGTCAACATATTATCATGTAAGCTCAAAATTTAATATACCAGACACAGAAAACTCCCATCTTTCATTTTCAAACTAACATTATTATGACTCCTCATTTTAATTAAAGAGGCATAATGCTAAATGTGTAACAATCATCATTCAATAGATTCTGAAAGTTGTAATTTTTTATACCTCATCACTCGGATCTTCTGATGTACTTTCAGGAACTGGTAACAATGCTATGGCACCATAATTATCATTTAATGAGTCAGAATGAGCATTATTGTTCTGAGATTCCACATTGGCATGATTGAGATCAGCTGCCACAGAATTGTTTATCGATGTATGATTTTGTGGACTAGATGAAAAAGTTGACTCTGGAAGAGTTGCCACAGTGTCAACTAAAAAGGCTGAAATTTCTGTGTTTTCAATCCGATGCAATCGCGACAGACTTTGTAAGTCCCGAAATAACACTGAATTGAAGTCATTGTCAAAATTCTTTGGATGAACAAAGTTGCTCAAACTATTTGAGCTATAAAACTGATTATGAATATTAGAAGGTATATATGCTGCAGTTTGTCCCAGTAATATTTCCTGAACCTCTGGGTACTGAATGAAATTTCCATGTAAGAAAATGTTATTCAAGTCTGTTCTCAACAGACTGAGAATGATCGCAATTTGGATCAATCCATCTGTAAAATACTGTTTGATCATTGTACTAGTCCTTCCTGAGTTTCCTCACAACATAAATAAAGTCTTAAACACCGTTTCACAAAGGTCGACTGTTGCCACAAAAATTCACAACTTCTTTGTTTTGGGTTTTCTTTTTGTGACACACTTAATCTAAAAATAGTAACACGAACCGTGTGTTGTGATCAATATCAGGCGGAAGTAGAATATTCTAACTTGATTTCTCCCAGAAACTTCATTTTAACATAGTAATGTCATTTTTTTAAGTTCAGTGTTTAAACAAAATATTAATAAACACAGAATCATGCGCAAACAATTTGAAAGTTATGTAATAAAACAGTTTGAAGCCTTTTTCTCGAAAGTTCCAAGCACACGAAATACAGGTTGTGATTCAGCAGGTTTAGTCATGACGTCATTTCCTTATTGGCATGCGCATATATCGGAGGAATTATGGGAGCATTATGAGATCCCGTTAAGTACTCTGACCTCAGAATAACTGCCCTAATTTCTATTTAACATTCATTTTAACCCAATTTAAACACTATATAATGCCCAAGTTTTTAACAAATACATTAACTTTGATAACTTTACTTGTAGAAACATCATTTCAGGAGTTTCTCTGAGAAATAACGACTGTCATGGGTAACACAACCTAATAATATGGACAAATATACTCCGAGAAGAATATTTAGGTTAGCAGTTTATCGCCTATTATTAAACTATTTAGACCAATAACACCAAATAACCTAATTCGTCAAATATGTGGGAAAGAAGGAATTACCTGACAGGAGTCTAATCCACTGTCAACAGACACATAACGGTCCAATTCCATCATTTTACCGACTCTTCGATGGAGACTCCCAGAATCGTTGGGTTGTTGTATACACTAATGGAAGTAAAGTATTGTAGGCTAACCTTTAACCTGTAAGACATAATACGATTGGCTGATGTACCGGTTAGAAGCCTATTGAAGTTGTAATATTAATCCATTGAATAATAAAGTATTTCGCAATCCATATTAACCATGAACCCTTCACGAGCAAATTTAGAGTGGTTAAATATCTAGGCCTATACAGGCAAATCTAATGATATCGAGTTTAATTTTAATCTAAACAGTGCTCGAATCTTTTATATTTTCAACTTGTCTTAAAATATTATTAAAATGTATTGACGTATACCAAGATAAAAATTTTGAATAAAAAGTGCAACTTCTAACTGGGCAAGACTGTCAAGGATGGTGTAGGTTCTGTTTCTCAAATTACTGGTAAAAAGAGACGATGGAATAATCTTGATTAAATCCATTATAATAAATATTTAGTGATATCGCGAACCTTCCCGACTTCTGTTTGAAATCTTTAAAACAATGTTAATGAAGTGCGGTAATTCGAAAGCGGAATTTGATCGTGGTTCCAACACATCGCAAAGCATGAAACTCTGAGAAACAACATTTTTTCCACTTATGTTTTGATGTCTCTAATCTCTGTGTAAGCTCACAGTCATACGTGGTTTAAGATCTTGATGGATAGGTCTACTTTCTGGTTTGAAGAATATATTTTTAATTTAGAATATTACCTCCCTTGAACTTGAAACATTTGTGACTGCATGCCTTTTGAGTTGGCGCCAAACACAATCCCGTTTTTAAAAAGTTTCAATTGTTTGAGATATAAGTAGGCCTAATTACAATCAATATCCACAAAATTTCAATATTACATAAAATGCATTTTATCGATAGGAAGAAGAAGTAGCCTTACAGCATAAAACGTTTATAGGGCCTACGAAAGTATCTACGCAACAATTACCACTAAATGACCATGTCAATTATATGTAGTTATATATTGGATTTCTGCATTAATCAATGTTGCAAGGTCTTTGTTAATATTAAAGTTTGGAAAAATACACACAGACTCGTCTTGGAAATCTTTGATCGATGATTCTCAAAAACGAACTTTTATATTAATATTTTTAAAGTCTTCGAAGACGCTTCCCTTTAATGTCCCTTTTTTACACACTTTATGTATGAATAGTTGACTCTCCCCCGCTCCCGCCTTTAAGAATCCTACCTCCCCCTGCCTACTGGCAGAAGGCCTGTGTGTTTGTGGGGGGGTGGGGGGGGGGCGAGTGTGCGAAAACATTAGACGGTCTCCTACGCCTATTCCCGAACCTGGGCTTGCTTCAATCCACAATACATAATTTGTAATGAGATAACGTCAGGGGGGGGGCAACGTATCCAGTTGATCGACATACATTGCATTGTGACGACAAAATATAAATCAATATCGAGTCAGGGCAGACTGGAGTAGGACTACTGATAACCAGTTAAACAAAGAAAATATTACATGTGGTCTGAATCACAAGTGAATGAAGATGTATGGCTTGTATATTTAAACACGGTTAAAGATTAACGAATGCGGTAAAATACATAGACGGCGCTCAGTAGAGTATTGGAAATTCAAGACAGAATTTAATTTGGTTAATGTGACGTGTGAACAGCTGATCGGCACGAATTCGCTTAGAATCGTATAACACAGTAGATTAATACACGAGATGGAAGCTACCGTTGAAGTGTCTGGAACCGAACGTGTAACGGTCGATAAAGGTATGTAAAGGTTATTTTTCTCTGTTAGACTTTTCTGTCTTCAAATCATCAGGTAAATAAGTAAAAATAGATTTTATATAGGTCATTCAAGTTCCAATGCTGGCATGGTCAATTTGGCGATACGTTTTAGTGTGGACCTACCTACGGCATCATGGCTAATATTATGTAAAGAAAATAGGCCTAAACTATGTTCAATGCGATTGGTTCCAATTGTTAATTCCAGATCACAGGATGTTGATTGCAACTATGGGATCGCATGTTCGAACATTCAATGCAAGTTGCAGATTTTTCTATTTTCTATAAGTCTAACAATAATGATTCCACGAAAAATGAATATGAGTCTGTGCTTAGCTAATCCTAAAGCCTATGATAATATTGTAACCCATTCACAAGAAGGATTAAAGTGGACTCTACAAATCCTTTGTAAAGCTCATAGAATACGTTAATGATCAAGCAGTCAACAGATTGTGCTTGGCACATTGTCAAATAAATATTTGTGGTCGAATTGTTCTTAGCATATTGGCAAATATCTCTGGACAGAATAGTTTTTTTACAGATTTCTGAGATCAGAATGGTTCTTGACACGATGGCAGATTTCTGTTGTCGGATGGTTGTTAGAACATTGGCAAATATCTGTGGACAGCAGGTTTCTGTGGTCAGTATGGTTCTTAAAACAATGGCAAATATCTGACAGATTTCTCTGATTAGAATATAGTTCACATAGTTATCTAACGTCAGGTTGGGTCAGGTCAGATCAGGTCACATTTGAAGATTCGTGACAAAAATGATGACCGATCTCTGTGACGATTAGAAAAACCTACTATATCAATGACTTTATATTATCTGATTTTTTTATATATATTATTATGTCACTTCCATTCACTGTGCTCTTTCTATAAAATATTTTGGTATAGGACTATAATGTGTATTATCGTAAAACGGTTGATAAGATCGAACTTGCCTCAGGTACATGTGGACCTATTTATGTCTTTTTAATAACATATTAAACTACCGGAACAAAAATCCCATATGCTAATGCATAGATACTGTATAATTTATGTATGGGGTCATGTCTTGTTTGTGTCGAATACACTTAAAACATGATCTCTTTTTTTTACCAAATTACCCAATTTTGTCTTGATTTCCATTCCTAAAATGAGCGCCTTCTTTGTACTTTCCACATGTAGGCTATGAATTATGGGCTGAATGTTAGACAATATCATGCCACTTTGGTGTATTGGACCTAATTCTGATCCCTGTAGAATAAACAGTCTTTTTTTTAGTTCAAAACACCAGCAACCAAATATAACCTTCAGACTACATGTAATTTTTATGAATGGACAATGCCCTCGTGAATTCAACAAAAATCTCATTATAATTTCCGAAAATTACGCTTTCTTACAGGCTCGTTTAGTTTACTCTGGATCTCATTACTAAAGCTGTCAAAAGATCTCGAATGCTTTCAGTGAGGACTGGCAAGGGAATTATGATTATGACATATGACAGTTTTTGTGTTTTGTTACGTTGAAAGTACGCGTGTTCATTTATGTAATCGTGACCTTGGATCTTCATATATTCTTCTGCAACTTTTCGTGTTTGCTACGAAATGAGCTCTGTCATGTAGTGGCTTCAGTAACCACAATGTTTCCAGCAGATTTTCAACTTTATCAATAGGAAGCCAATCTAATCAAAATTCTAGTTCACACTATTGCTAGGTCACTCCGGAACCCATGTGAGATAAGGCATGCGCAGTAGGTAACAGTTTTTTCGGCGTGCCCCGCTAGGAAAAGTCTATTGAATATCTCACATCTTTACTTTTATTATCGAGATAATCCATATTGAACTTGTTAGAAAATAGACTCTAATACATTTCGTATAGGAGAAGGTCATATTACAATCTTGGAGAAATAAAACTCAAGCTCAATACTCGACCCATATAACCAAATGGAACAATTTTTGCCATAATTCAGGACTTAATTCATTAATACCCAGAGTTGAATGCCAAATTGTCTTACAGTACTGTCAATAGTGCTAGAAGTGCTCTATCAGCTATTCTGCCTCTCATATCCAATGTTCCTTTCAGACAACATCTTCTTGTAAAACGATTTCTTAGAAGTGCTTTTAACAACAACCCTCCTAAACCAACATATACAGAGGTATGGGATGTGAATCTGGTGATAAATATTTTGCGCAATTTCCCACCATTCACACTCTTGAATGCAACTCTCAGTTGCACGAGAGTTGCATTCTAACTTCCGCAACTGGTGACTGCTATGGTGTGAGGGCCACTTAGCCCACTTTGCTGAAAAACCAAACAACAATCAATTGTGTTTCTAGGAAACATTTTGGGCGAGCAGGGACCAAAAATGTTTAAGGGACCATATACGATTTCTTTGACTATGCAAATTGATAAAAAATTTGAAAGGGGGGGCCAAACCCGGGCCAGCCTCTTATCTGCCCCCAACCCCCGTAAAGGCGCCACTCGCGGCAATATCGGTAGGTTTTTGTAAAAAAGGAGCTTGTTGTTGATAAGCATTATAAACTACTAACCACAAACTAACCTGAATTATGACATATACAAAGTTTACTTGAAACTAAGATGTAAGCAAAATTAATTTTTTACGTCCTTCAGGACCACCATGGTGGAAATCTGTACGATACAGGATAGCTATGATTGGTTTTCTTGGTGGAGCTAATATCTTCATACAGAGATCTAACCTCAGTATGGCAATTGTTTGTATGGTAAATCATACAGCTATAGAACTTTTAAAACATCCCGATGGTCCAATTTTTGACAACAGCAGTTATTTGAACCAAACATCATACATATTGCAATTTGTTCAGAGCAACGAATCCGTTGGTGAATATCAAGAGTCTTGTGATACAGCAATGTCAGATAGATCTACGACGGACAGCGAGGTGGGTTCTATTTCGTCTCCTTTTTAAGATCGCGAAATATTTCATAGTCGTCATGTAGTTTTGGAAATAAAGCTAATGATGATAAAACTATAGAAATCGGACAGGTTTTTGAAATTTAAAAATTTAAGTTGAAGAAATGATTACTCCACTTTCACAATATTAACAAAAGCCTGCATTTTCTCTCAAAAAAACACCGAGAGATTAAGACACAATTCTGTTTTATATCTTGCGTATTGCATCTTGCACAGAACACATCCACCTACACCATGACTTTAATCGATGTTAATGTTATGTTTTAAAACATTTCGCCCCAATGATTCACGTTTCCAATTATTTATCACATACCGAAATAAGAGAAATCTCTGAAGTTGCAATGTGAGATATCCTTGAGCTTTATTCATATAAACTATAATGAGAGACCGGACTTGACATTTTGTCATGTTGACATTATATCGGTGTTTGTTCACCACGAACAGAAGTTTAAGACATTTTACATACGGTTTAGCAGACTTACTTTAAAGGCTATGAGATATGAAAAGTTTTTAACTTCCCTGAAAAAAAAAACTGTCTATCTACTTGACAAGGGTCGCCGTGATTCGGATTTGAAATTTGACATTTCCACGTAACCTATATGTGATAAAGCTTTTTTTAAAGATCCATGTCTTATTCTTTTCCAGAATGGTGAATTTATCTGGTCCAAAGAAAAACAAGGGATATTATTGGGAGCCTTATTTTGGGGTTATGTACCGCTTCAAATTTTAGGAGGGTATCTTGTTAAGAGAATTGGTATTCGGCATGCCACTGGACCGTTCTTCTTAGCCATGTCTACATTAACTCTGTTATCACATCCAGCTGCATTATGGAGTCCATGGGCGTTATTTGTTTTGAGAATGTTGATAGGATGTACAAATGTGAGTATTTATTTATAAAAATGCGTTGTTTCGTTAACTTTTTAATACAATCCTGAGCTCATTTGATTTAATTTCATGAATAATGAAGACAATGAGAAATAGACGAAAAAGGCGAAAACTTGAGGAAAAAGTAGAGAAAGCAAGGAAAAAGTCGAGGAAAAAGTTGAGAACTCGAGAGAAATTTTCCTGGCTTTTTCGCCTTTTTGCCTTTTCCACGCCTTTATTTTCTGCTCGTTTTCATCTTCTTAACTTCGTTTTGGAAGCTAATTCCAATCTATTCTAATTGAAATTTGATTACAATTTATTTAGATTTCAATGTAGATTTTAAATATCAGAAAATGATAAAGATACGAAATTGTAATCCAATTGAAATTAGATTGCGACCATACCTACTTATACATATCGACTTTCCCGAAAATTGTCCTCGCCTTCTAGCCTTTTCCTCGCTTTTCGCCTTCTCGCCTTTTTCGAAAAAGAAAGTACTCCCTCGCCTTGTCACCTATTTGTATGTATGGAGAGCAATGAACTGAAACTGACGAATAATTAATCTATCTATAAGAAAATTGATAATTAGATATGATAACATATTAAATTACAACAATTAGTTATATGTTTATTAATTATTAATGTCATATCATTTATCTTAATTAGACTTAACACTCCATTAAATAATTTTCATTTGACTTGAATCACTTTATAATTGGAATACTGATATGAATATAAATTGTATGACTAAATCATCATATATTATAACATTGACAGGCAATTATTGGAGTTGACAAACTCAGTTGCATAGGGGTATACGGTGCATAGAAGGTATATTCCAGATGGTCCAAAGACTGAAAGACACATTTTTCGATTTAGAAAATACCAATGCAACTGCCGATATATATATAAAAAATAAACTATATTTTCTATGCAAAATAATAAACCGCTTTGTAAATTCCTGTCTTACTTTAGTCATGAATAAAAAAAAAAATCAGGATATCTATTTCAGGCTGTGTGTCTTCCAGGAATATTTTTCATACTGTCAACATGGGCACCGCCTGATGAGAAAAGTAGAATGAGCAGTATATTATTTGCAGGAAACACTTTTGGTAATGTGTTAGCGTTTCCTATTGCTGGTTTATTATGTAAATATGGTTTTGCTGGAGGCTGGCCTTCAGTATTTTATGTCTCAGGTATAAATGACTTTTTGAACAATATGGCTGCGCTGAAGATTATTCAGATACATTCGACTCGAATTTTCCGACATTTTCATTTGTAATCATTATGTAAAATGAATTCAGATGTTGACAAAAACCACGATCCTCGTAGAGAAGATGTCCTTTTAATTTTTTCGTTAAATTTATTTGTAAACCTATTCAATAGCGTCAGACAAAATAATCACCCTTGCCTTATCCCTTACCGCGATGCATAACCTTGAAGGTGTTTAATCTTATTTAGGTTCCGTATTTTGTGTATTAGTGCATTTCATGTATTTTACAATAATTAGATATTTTCACTGTTAATAGTGTAATATTTTTTTTTTATTGTATTTTAGGTATATCGAGTTTTATATTAAGTATTTTATGGTATTTATTTGTGTTTGATTCGCCATTGAAACATCCCACCATACATGCACGAGAAAAAGAATATTTACTGAGAAAAATGAATATGGATGCCCTTACTAGAAAGAAGGTAATGTTCATTCATCATCATTTCATATCAATGTATTGGCAATAATTCAGATTAGACGCCCCTTTTTAAAAAAAGAAATTGAAAATTCAATTACCAGAATTAACGTGGGAATAAATGAGACATGAGAAATGTGCGGTGTCGGATGGTCGATAAAATCGTTGCATAGTTTACCTGCCTGTCTGCAGCGTTTACGGACCAGTACCTTGTGCTTCTCCTTTTTTCAACTGTATCGACAATAGTGCACCCGTACACGACAGGAAACCTTAAAGACCTGGACATGCATAGCACCATCATAGTATCTCGATGCATCGTGTTTGCAACTTTCAATATGTGTGTGGTCACACTGAAAGATCACTTGAGTTAAATATAATGTACCTAGGTAAATGACTCGACTGAAAACTGGCTACTGATTGGCCCAGATCCCTCAGGATTTGTGGTCGATGCTGCGGTGACAGAACACCTTGAGGCATTCTTTATGGAAAACGCACGCCGGACAGCGCATCATATTAGGCTTTACTCCTAGATTAATAGTGTGCATTTGTCATCATAATTACAAATGCCTGTATCGGGTGTCACAAAAAGGTCACCAAGTTCGACGGGTAGTATCTAGGCTGTTTGTAAACTGATCTCAAAATTCTGACAGATATACTTTTTGGTCGGGGCAGTACAAGTACAATTTTTATTCGATGACTTTCATATTTTCAGGGTTCGACAACGACCTCTCGACATGTATATTATTATTACTATTGCAGGAAACTGTTCCATGGGGCCAAGCATTACGGTCTTTACCAGTATTAGCTGTATTTATCTCTCATACCTGCCTAAATTGGGGGACCTATCTAATACAAACTAGCCTTCCACTGTATATGAGGGATGTTCTCAAATTTGAAGCAGCATCGGTGAGTCAAAGTTTTAAATGGTATCGATACAAATTTGTTTTAAAAGTAACGGTGAATAAGAAAATAAGAAAAATGTCAAAAACTTTTTTTAAACCAAGCTTTGACATTCATATATTCATTTGTATTTTACAGAATGGTTTATTTACAATGCTGCCACATATTTGTCTAGTCATTCTACTCTTAACATCTGGTATTGTGTTTGATAAGATTTCTACACGTTATGGTATTAATATATCCAGAAAATCTACTGCCATTTTTGGTAAGTATAGGACTATTAACAAAGTTAATGTTTGATGTATGGGAGTAGGCACAATGTAATTTAAATATTTGTCAGAATGTTTCGACGTTTTAAGTCACAACCAAATTGATAAAAACCAATCAAAGCCGCCACAAATCATATCAGCCTATTCTTTGCTACAACGGAATTTTAGCTAAAAACTCTTTGTGTTTACATTTCAATTTATGTATATATTTTTCAGGTCTAGGGCTTCCAGCTATTTTATTTGTTGCGTTAAGTTATCTGGATTGTACCAACGTTGCCTTAGCAATAACAATATTATCACTTACTTTTGCCTTATTATCACTGAACTTTGTTGGACTCATTGTCAATTTTTTTGATATGGCCCCAACACATGGTGGTCAACTAATGACATTTAGTAACACTATAGCTAACACACCTGGAATTTTAGCACCATACACTGTAACTCAATTAACACCTGATGTAAGTATAACTAATGTAGCTGGTATCTTACAGGGGTATTCAGCTTTTTGTAAAATGTTTAAAATATCAAAAACGTCGTAAATTATACTTGAAAATATTTCTGAACTATTTTATTTGTATCAAGGTATCTTCTTGATCGAACTGAATTTGTTTTAAAAGAGTTAATTAAAAACAGAGAGTAATAATTGTTAATTTGGTCTAATTTTGGTGTTTGGCTTCATAATTGCTCGATATTATTACTTGAAACATTAAAAATACGTAGGAGACACATTTCTCTACAATAAGGCGTTTATTTTACTCAAATCCGTGCCATAGTTTTCTAACAACTCTCAAAAAGCATAGCGAACTTGAAAACCTTACGTAAAGTTTTTAAATATTTATGGCGTTTAAAAATTAAGGGCTGGATTCTTTTAGTTAAAACTCTCAACTCAATAACACCTAATTATTAGCCTAATGTAAGTATAACTAATGTGACTTGTACTGGAACACCATATATTATAACTCAATAATACCTAAAGTAAGTATAACTATTAGCTGGTATTTTAACTCCATAAACTGCAGCTCAATTTAATCTTATATATTATATTTTAAAACCACATGATAATGTAACAGCTGGTGTAAGTATCAATGGCGTTTCTATGGGAGCCAGGTAGTGGGAGAGTGCTATAATGTTTCCTAGTAACGTCATAAAAAGAATTGACCTTGCAAGCGATTGATGAGCAACAACTCAGTGTCAGTGCGTCTGTTTTGCAGTATTTTGGTGGATGTGGCCATTGATTGTGTTGCAGAATCATTACACTTATTGGATTCGATAGTAATTTTTTTTTTATTCCAGAATACAAGAGAAGAGTGGCAGACGGTATTTTTCTTGACGTCTGGTATTCTAGCAGTTGGGGCCTTATGTTTTGTACTGTTCAGTACAGTTAATGTTCAGAAATGGGCAATATCACCACCTCCAGATGAAATTGTAGAATTAAACAAAGGGCAAGAGAAAACTTGATAAGATCATCGTTAGGGTAGTGGTAGACTACTCCCTACTCATCTACCTATTCAGTCATTTAGCCTGAAAGGTGTACTCAGGTCGACGGGTGATTAAAAGTATCCTATTAGATCTGTTGTTTTGGACATGATAAACCGAGTACTAGCAACTGTGATCAACTGGATTATTGCAGATTCCGACTGCCCAGGTTGTCAGCAAGATCTCAATTCTTATAGAAAGTAGAACACAGTGTCACTGCAATATTTCATTCGTTGTTGCTCTCTGGTTGACTGGATCCAGCGACTGTACAGGTTATGCCAGCTTCCGCCAATTCAGTTGCTGACAGTCGTCGTAACCAGTTTCAATCAGATTTTGCCAGTCAAATGTTCGACCTGAGTCCCCCTTTTCCATCTGATTGAAATACAGTTATAGATATTTCGTTTAGTGTATTTTCTGAACAGATACTTATATTATTCCAATAGCACTCCTTACTTTGCTTCCTGTCTATATATAAGTATATGTGATAAGTGTATGAATGGTATGTGCTTGTGAGGTGTAATAGTATTAAAAGTAATGGTTCGCAATTTTCGGGTTTTGATATGGGTTTTTGAATATGTGTAAATAATACTGCACGAAAATTGCATAATCACTTCAAATATAGTTCAAACTGGAAAATTCACTTTCTTTTTCTAAAAATCTATATATGATGTAGTATCTAGAAAAGACGAGTCGTCATTTAAGTTTTCAAATCGTTTCTGAATAATAGGATTTTTACAAGCTTCAAAATAAAAGTATATGTATATGTGAACGGTTGTTTTTAAGGAAGTCGAAGCAAGTTAAGACGCTTAAGGACGCTTAATCACACGAATCACGTTTTATGTTGCTTGACTTCATTCACCGTTCGGTATTGTCATTCGCGTAACTTATCATTTCTCTATTTTCATCCACGTCGTTCTGTCCAATAATCTCGTCGGTTTCAACGACATGTTTTGTGTCGATAGACTTAAAAAAATTGAAAGTGGGGGGCCAAAATCGTTTCTGAAAAATAGAATTTTTACCAGCTTCAAAATAAAAGTATATGTATATGTGAACGGTTGTTTTTAAGGAAGTCGAAGCAAGTTAAGACGCTTAAGGACGCTTAATCACACGAATCACGTTTTATGTTGCTTGATCCATTCACCGTTCGGTATTGTCATTCGCGTGACTTATCATTTACTATTTTCATCCACGTCGTTCTGTCCAATAATCTCGTCGGTTTCAACGACATGTTTTGTGTCGATAAACTTATCGGTTTCAGGAGTGTAGTTCTTTTCAGTAATCTCACCATTTTCAACCACACAGCTCAGACCAATAGCTTCTTCTTTCTTTTCTGTAGGTACTGACCATTTCTCCACCGTAACTTTTCCAAAAACAACAAAACAAAGCGCACCAAACGTTAGAATTCCAGCAGTAAGAAAGAACATTTTCTGCCACTGTTCTCTAGTATTCTGAAAATATAATCGATGTCTCGTGATTTTGATTGATTCTATTCCTATATTGGGAATGTTTTACTGTGTAATAAGGTAAATTAATTTACTCTTTTCTAATGTCTGACTGAAGAGGCTTCTTAAACACCAAACCTCTTGCGCTGTAGTAATGATAAATCTGTATCTAGCTCCTTCGAACGGTATGCTTACGGTTTTATATGACATCAGATGTTCATAGAGCTACAGTATATGGTGTTAAAATACCAGCTATATTAGTTATACTTACATTAGGTGTAAATTGACCTACAGTATATGGTGTTTAAATACTAGATATATCAATTATACTTAAATTAGGTGTTAATTGACCTACAGTATATGCTGTTACAATACTAGATATATCAATTATACTTACATTAGGTGTACATTGACCTACAGTATATGGTGTTACAATACTAGATATATCAATTATACTTAAATTAGGTGTAAATTGAGCTACAGTATATGGTGTTAAAATACCAGCTATATTAGTTATACTTACATTAGGTGTAAATTGACCTACAGTATATGGTGTTAAAATACCAGCTATATTAGTTATACTTACATTAGGTGTAAATTGACCTACAGTATATGGTGTTAAAATACTAGATATATCAATTATACTTACATTAGGTGTACATTGACCTACAGTATATGGTGTTACAATACTAGATATATCAATTATACTTAAATTAGGTGTAAATTGACCTACAGTATATGGTGTTAAATACTAGATATATCAATTATACTTACATTAGGTGTACATTGAGCTACAGTATATGGTGTTAAAATACTAGATATATCAATTATACTTACATTAGGTGTAAATTGAGGTACAGTATATGATGTTAAAATACCAGCTATATTAGTTATATTTACATTAGGTGTTAATTGAGCTACAGTATATGGTGTTAAAATACCAGATATATTAGTTATACTTACATTAGATGTAAATTGAGCTACAGTATATGGTGTTAAAATATCAGCTATATTAGTTATACTTACATTAGATGTTAATTGAGCTACAGTATATGGTGTTAAAATACCAGCTATATTAGTTATACTTACATTAGGTGTTAATTGAGCTACAGTATATGCTGTTAAAATACTAGATATATCAATTATACTTACATTAGGTGTAAATTGAGGTACAGTATATGATGTTAAAATACCAGCTATATTAGTTATACTTACATTAGGTGTTAATTGAGCTACAGTATATGGTGTTAAAATACCAGCTATATCAGTTATACTTACATTAGGTGTAAATTGAGCTACAGTATATGGTGTTAAAATACCAGCTATATTAGTTATACTTACATTAGGTGTAAATTGAGCTACAGTATATGATGTTAAAATACCAGCTATATTAGTTATACTTACATTAGGTGTAAATTGAGCTACAGTATATGGTGTTAAAATACCAGCTATATTAGTTATACTTACATTAGGTGTAAATTGAGCTACAGTATATGGTGTTAAAATGCCTGGAAAGTTAGCTATAGTGTTACTAACTGTCATAATTTGTCCACCATGTGTCGGGGAAATATCAAACATATTCACCATTAAACCAACAAAGTTCAAAGAAAGAAAGGAAGCTGCTAAACACATTAACACCACAACGAATGCAGTTTGCTCGCAGTCAAAAAAACTCAAAGCTGTAAGTAAAATTGCTGGTACAACCAAACCTCAAAAAAGAAAAGAAAATTGGAGATTAGGAATGGAGCAAAAAGGATGAGAGAGGAGAGTACGTAGTTGCCGTAGAATTCTACCACAAAAACTCACACACAGAAACTGCTGCAAAGGTATAAGTGATCCCGTAGAAAATTAAACTAAACGTTTTTCTACCTATCCGAAACGTTCCCGCTAGTAATTACTAAAGAATTTAATAGGATTGAAATGCAGTGTGTACATCAGCTTGTGAATTCAGCTTCCGAATTGGAATTTTTATATGAAAGTATGCATACCTAAGAAAGTTGAAGACTTTCGAGATACTTTGAGACCGTATCTTTTCGTAATATTATCAAATATAACACCAGATACAACCAATTGTGTTGTTAAACATATAAATGGTAACATGGAAATGAATCCATTCTGAAAAAGGTAATCATCGAAATTCACCATTTATATTTTGGAAAGTCTGTAAAAGTGAAATGCTTTAATCAGTGAATTAAAATTGAAAATGATAATATAATAAATTGTCACCCATTGAAAAGTAACAAAACATTATTTCCATCTACTTATTATATTAATAAATAATATGGACTAATATAAATATAATAATTGGAGAAGCTCAGTTTATTTTTTATTCAATCAGAACTAAATAGCTCTTGTGCTAATTCTAATTCAAAACTCTTCGAAAAAGACCACTTTTATCAAAAGACTGTTTAGGATTAATCCCTTTATAGTGGTTTCTACAGGTGACTGGAGAGGATATGTTTATAAATTTCCAAGGGGAGAGGCCATCAACCATTTTAAGTTCACGGACTCCCACTCATCTAGTTCAGCCAGTGTTCTATTGTATATGTTTTGAACTTCATATTACTCATAAAATAAGCATTTCCAAACTCACACAAAACAAAATCTTGAATTGAATTATCTCACATATTCTGTTGCTCAAAGAGTAGGACACCTGGTGTGCTCTCGAATGACTCCATCAATATTTGGAAATCGAAGTAGGCATAATAAAGTGTCATTTACTGCACAATGTTAGGTCGGCACGTCGTCATTAGCCAAATCATGTAAGACGCTAAACTTAAATTCATTTTCTAAGCTTATTCCAAAAGTTAACTTACTGAAGCTGCTTCAAATTTCAGTACTTCTCTCATGTACAGAGGGAGACTAGTAAGCATGAGGTATAATCCCCAATTTAAACTGGTATGAGCTATAAATATAGACAGGACTGGTAACGATGTCAAAGCTCGACACCAAGGAACTGGTTCCTGAAATAAAACAAACCCATTACATCAACATCTAATGTTTTTTCTTCTATTGTGTTTTGTTCATGTTTAGACTTCGAAGTACTGAAAGGTTCATGATCTAAATATTCAAATATTTATGATCCTGGTCGAAAGATAACAATGTAATATTTGAAACAATATAACATATAAAATATTATCTTATTTATGGAGATGTATTGTTTTATTTTTGATTTTATTTCCCCTTGAACCAAAAAGAGTCGCCTGTGTCGTCTATACATAGTTCAGCACATCAATGATCTATATATATTATGTCATAAATTTGACTCAGCAGCTATATGAAGGATGGCTTCTCTAACGATAAATGACTGCGGGTCGAATTTTCAATTTGAGAACAGTATCCAATTTGACAGTTATTTCAAGATTATTTTACCTTCTTCTTTGTTAGTGCAGCAAAATCTATGTTGGAGACCAGGTATGCCTTTTCACTTGAACTGATAGAAGGATGTTTCAGTGGAGAGTCATATACAAATAAATACCATAAAATAACTAACATGAAACTTAAAATACCTAAAATATAATAACGTGTTTAGGGTATCCATTAACAGAAACGACTCTTTGCAGCAGAGACTCCAAGTGGTGATCTGCGGCCATATTGGATTTTGGGTGTCTGTGAAAAATCTCTAAATGTCCAATGACCAGTAGAGTCAGTGTTGATTGGTCAAAATACAAAAAAGGTGACGAACCTGAGACATAAAAAACCGATGGCCATCCACCGGCAAAACCATATTGGCATAGAAGACCAGATAAGGGGAATGCTATGACGTTACCAAATGTTACTCCTGCATATAATATGCTACCAATTCTACTCTTCTCCGCTGGTGGAGCCCATAATGATATAATGAAGAAATTCCCAGGAATACAAATAGACTGAAAAATCCAAACATTTGTCATCTATTAATTGATCTTATAACTACATACAACATGAACTTATTATTCAAATACCATTTATTCAGAATACTCTGAACGTATGCAATCAAATCAGCGGTCCATGTCTAAGAAACCTTTGCTTCTCACTACAAAGATCTTGGAACTCTTCCTATTCTTTACATAGTATACTTACATTTGTTACACCTATTAAAACCCGTAAAACAAATAAGGCCCATGGACTCCATAAAGCAGCTGGATGAGATAACATGGTTAAGATAGATATAGCTATGTAGAATGGACCGACAGCTTGTCGTACGCCCAATTTTTTAATCAGATATCCACCCAATATTTGACAGGTGATATAACCCCAAAACAAAGCACCCAACAGTAAACCTTGAATATTTTTGGTCCACACAAATTCTCCATCCTGAAATGAAAAAGACAAAATCTCCTTCAATTGCAAAAGTTTTTTTTAGAGTTTGACAGCCCGGAGCAAAGGCAGATGAGGAATATTTGCTATTCGTTTAGTTTGGTCCCAACCAGTTTCTCAGATGTGATGCACGAATGTAAGTAATATCGTCACTATATAGTAGGAACTGACATCTTATGTCTCTTTTATAGGAATTCATTCCGATCGCATTCGTTATTCACGTGTGGGGTATTGGGTGGAACGAGGCTGCCGGGCTAGGCTTTGCCCCTTCCACGAGGAAGCGCGGAATAAAGCTAACAGGCTGGAGAGCGAGGATAATGGCGGGGAGGCTAGAAAGCGGGAAAAAGGAAGAAAATTTTCCAAGCCCTCTCACCTTTTACTCATCTTCTGCAATGACCTTTACCTACCTGTCTGTAAACAGAAACTTCAGATGGAGTATTACACGTCTCTGGTTCAGGATGAGATTGATTACCATTTGATACGTTGTTGGCAAAGGTATATGAAAAGTTGCTGTTAATGATTATGGAAGAATTTAAGGCAAATTGTTCCTTTTCATTTTTTAAAAGTTCTAAGGCCGTATGATTCACCATACATACAATTGCCATACTTAGATTAGATCTTTGTAAAATAACATTAGCTCCACCCAGAAAACCGACCATAGCTATTCTGTACCGCACAGACCTCCACCAGGGAGGACCTGAAGAGAAAACATCACTGGATGAAATGTGGCATCGCCGATTGTAACATACTTATTGGACTCAAATCTAACAGCTAAGTATGGGAAAGGTCGTGTAGGTGACTGCCATCAAAAAGAACCTTTAATGATGAAATTATAAAATAATGGGTTTAATACTCTTTGTTATTTGTCTGTATTTTGAAATTCCAAAAGAAATCACAGATTCAGCGTTGAACAGATGCGACATTTTTTTCGCAAACTAAGAATTGTTTTCCTATTTCTATAGATGTCTTTTCTATACAGCAGCGTCTTAAGAAAAGACGACTCGTCGTGGATAATTCTGGACCTACATGGATCTGAAGGCTCAAATTTCAACGATGAGCTGTTACTGATTGGCTTAGTTCAAAAATTCCGTTTCGGGTATGATTGATCAAACAAAATGGCGCATCTGTTCCTTTAAATCTCCATTTTTTCTGACATGGTATAAATTAGCAAGACAAACCTAGTCCTACCCTTTCCTAAGAAGTGATGTATGGGTCGGATAAACCAATCCAATATTCCTTCAGTATACATGTATCACGTCCGAGGTACTGGTAGGACCAGATATGTCGGGCTAAGCAGGCTGATATCCATTTTGCATATCACGTCCGAGGAACGGGTAGGGCCAGATATGTCGAGTTACGTGTTAATCACATAACTGAAATCGATAATGTTGTCATGTGCACTCGATTAAATAATCGTCAGCTTGTCACTATTTATCCTTCCTCCCATAAAATGGGCTTAAATTTGTCCAAATATAAACCAGCCGTGAAATATTGCTACACGTTGTGTTCATCGAATGGCGTGAGACGCTATAATATAAAATACATTCACCATATAGTACGAGTAGAAAATATAAAATGCGTGTTGTATATTGTATACATATAGATCGATGCATGAAGCAGACGAAATAGAAAGCCACTCACCCTTTTTGTTTGATTCACGATGCGACTCCATTGCAGTTTAGTGGGTTTGATTAGTGATGAAATATCCAGCCAGTCTACGTCATGTAATCTCTATTTCACTTCATTTCATTTCAGCGTGTTGTTGTTTGATATTTATTGTGAAAACAAAATCGGTCGTGCACATGCTTTAGAAATCTAGCGTTGACTGATACTGACGTGACTTATTCAGTTATTAAATCACCTAGATCAATGATTTCCTTTTCAGTTTTGAAAGGATGTTTTAGGCCTGTGTTTATAGGTTAGACTTGTGTCTAGGGTCTAATGTTTAAGGCCTATAGAACTATGTTACCAGTATTAAATAAGAACTTCCGTTATATATATAAGTCTAACCACTGGATCCTTAAGTACGAGGTGCCAATAGCCACACGCTTCATAATATTCATTAGTACACGAGGCTACTCGCTAATAGAAAACGATACTAGATAATGTATTTGAATAAGAAGTATCATATAATATATTATATATTATACCGTCACATGGCTTGGCCATTGTTTGTTTAGTTTTTTGTCTGTTTTTGAATGACCTATTTAGAGTTCAGTGACTCAAATGTAGTATTAATTAATATTACCTTGTAACAAGCTGAATTCTACTGGTTGAGCCAGCATTCGGCTTCAGGTTGTAGGTTTTTACAGAGAAAAAAAGAAAATGCCTCATTAGGTTTAGGTTTTGTTTAGGAATGATCGAAGCTTTCTTATGTGACGTCACAAGGTTGTTAAGGAAAATCCGCAATTCCTGTTAACCACGTTTATGGAAAACAGAAAACGGCAAGCCCTATTAGAATGGTCTTAATTAGCTTTGCCACTTAATAGACCCACCAGGTGTCAACATGTATCTATAAATAAACAATTATTTAATTATCCTGTCAGTGTATATTTGACACGCATGGTTGATTAAACTAATCTTCTGAATGTAAAGCTGGTCCCTCTGTAGAAACGTTACTGGTTCAGTGTTATAGACAGGAAGTGCTTACTCTTTCCACCGCCGTCTTATTCGTTTCAATCATTGATTTCGGAAGACTGTAACAAACGCAGCCTCTGTTTATTTCGACTAGACGTTTTTCCATGTCACTGAAACCAGGTTGAAAAATCCCAAAGTATTATCTCGACGTATTGGACTTTCATACAACTTCTCTATAACATATTTTCGTGAATATCGTAAATTATTCTGCCCCAATTTTTCCCGTTGTCAAAGATTCACTTTGAGGATCTTGTCACTCCAAATATCAAATCAAATAGATATCAAATCAAATAGATATCAAATCAAAGAAACAGACCTCAAAAAGCAATAATTGTGGCAGTTCATTAAAAATTAAGAAACAGTTTAAGATCACCCTGATTCTCCAATTATTAAATATTGGTAAAGTTTAATAATATAAAATATAAATAGATATCAAGTTAAATAGATATCAAGTTAAATAGATATCAAGTTAAATAGATATCAAATCAAATAAACAGACCTCAAAAAAGCAATTGTTTTGGCAGTTCATTAAGAATTAAGACAAATTTAAAGATCACCCCTATTCTCCAATATAAATAGATATAAAGTTAAATAGATATCAAGTTAAATAGATATCAAGTGAAATAGATATCAAGTTAAATAGATATCAAGTTAAATAGATATCAAATCAAATAGATATCAAATTAAATAGATATCATGTTAAATAGATACCATGTTAAATAGATATCAAGTGAAATAGATATCAAATTAAATAGATATCAAGTTAAATAGATATCAAGTTAAATAGATATCAAATTAAATAGATATCAAATTAAATAGATATCAAATTAAATAGATATCAAATTAAATAGATATCAAGTTAAATAGATATCAAATTAAATAGATATCAAATTAAATAGATATCAAATTAAATAGATATCAAATTAAATAGATATCATGTTAAATAGATACCATGTTAAATAGATATCAAGTGAAATAGATATCAAGTGAAATAGATATCAAATTAAATAGATATCAAATTAAATAGATATCAAATTAAATAGATATCAAGTTAAATAGATATCAAATTAAATAGATATCAAATCAAATAGATATCAAGTTAAATAGATATCAAATCAAATAGATATCAAATTAAATAGATATCATGTTAAATAGATATCAAGTGAAATAGATATCAAATCAAATAGATATCAAATCAAATAGATATCATGTTAAATAGATATCATGTTAAATAGATACCATGTTAAATAGATATCAAGTGAAATAGATATCAAGTGAAATAGATATCAAATTAAATAGATATCAAATTAAATAGATATCAAGTGAAATAGATATCAAGTGAAATAGATATCAAGTTAAATAGATATCAAGTTAAATAGATATCAAGTTAAATAGATATCAAGTTAAATAGATATCAAGTGAAATAGATATCAAATCAAATAAACAGACCTCAAAAAAGCAATAATTCTGGCAGTTCATTAAAAATTAAGAAACAGTTTAAGATCACCCCTATTCTCCAATTATTAAATATTGGTAAAGTTTAATAATATAAAATATAAATAGATATCAATCAAA